TGTGCCGCAACGTCTTCGCGTTGTGCCGCAACGTCATCGCGTTGTGCCCCAACGTCATCGCGTTGTGCTGCAACGCCTTCAAGTTTTGCTGCAACGTCGTCAAGTTGTGCTGCAACGTCGGCACGTTGTGCTGCTGCTGCAGGCAAAAACAGTGCCGTTTATATCGATGAGTTATTTTAATGGAATGTCCGATATTGAAATTTAACGTTAATATTGGCCAATTCCGATACATGCTGATAATGTCGTGCATCCCTAATACTAATATTTAAGTTTTCTTTTATCTGGTGAAAGTACTGTTCAAATTATGTTTGGGGGGGCGTCGACCAGTAAACTCACTTTGTATAATGTTGCTCTTACCCAACAGCTCACTATGGAAGTTGACGGCAAAGTAGAGAGCATCATGAAAAGGACAGCGCTAGTAGCAAACACATCCAACATGCCTGTGGCTGCTCGAGAGGCTTCTATTTACACAGGTACCAGCTGTTCACACCTGAGAGCATTCACCTGTACATTTTAACACCTGTTGGGTAGATAAAAATCTGCATGATGATGTCCATTTATTTAAAAGTTGCTTTGAAAGTTAAATCCCTGAAAGCTTTTCACGATTGCCTTCAAACTAGTTTACCTTAAGGCATCATTTCAGACCATTTTTTCTGCAGGGATCACGCTGTCGGAGTACTTCAGAGATATGGGCTACAATGTGAGCATGATGGCCGATTCGACGTCTCGATGGGCTGAAGCTCTGAGAGAAATCTCTGGAAGATTGGCTGAAATGCCCGCTGGTGAGCTTTCTGAATACTGGAGGTTTAGTTTGGTGACAAGACGGCAACAACATGGACTGCACACAGTTTAGTGAATGTCTTCATAATGGGGATGTTTAGTGAATCATCAGTTTAGTGTTAGGATGGTTGACCTCTTCAAAGCGATCAGATTCATTTTTTTTAAACATTCTACACAATTTATTGGCAGTAAATATTGACGTTTTCTTGTTTGTTTGTTTTTTCTGTTGTCAAAAACTAAATCTGTTGGTCAGCCTGAGCAGAGAAGAACATTTTGACGGGGAGCAAAATGAATTTTGAACATTAATAAAAAAGGGAAATCTTTCAAAAAACAATCTTTTAAAGAAACGCAATATTAAAATACTTATAAACCTTGGTGTAGGGGTGACTTTTTGTGGCTGTTGCTTGCAGACAGCGGGTATCCTGCTTACCTGGGCGCCAGGCTGGCCTCCTTCTATGAGCGTGCAGGACGCGTGAAGTGCCTGGGCAATCCAGAGAGGGAGGGGAGTGTGAGCATTGTTGGAGCGTGAGTTCATTGATTTATTTATGTTTTTTAGGGGCGAGTTGATTTGTTTTTTACCACTTTACTGAGAAAGACTGGCTTGCAAAACTTGCTTTAGTAACTAAATATCTATTTTTGCTACTTGATAGAAAAACTTGAGTGAAAAAAAGAATTAAACCATCATTAATATAAACGTGTTTAACATGTATTAATATAAACAGCATTTTCTGACATTACAAAAATGTTTTAAACCAACAAAAGTGGTCTAGAAGAGTAGTGATCAGCTCTTAACTGACTTCCTTTATGACTTCAGTGTGTCGCCCCCTGGTGGAGACTTCTCTGATCCTGTCACTTCAGCCACTTTGGGAATTGTTCAGGTAAGAAATGGCTCGTGTCTCTTCAAACCTAAGATTAAATGTGTGTGACCCTTCATTTTTTTTCCCACCTTGGCAGGTTTTCTGGGGATTGGACAAGAAGCTGGCTCAGAGGAAGCACTTCCCTTCAGTGAACTGGCTCATCAGCTACAGCAAGTACACTCGAGCTCTGGATGAATATTACGACAAACATTTTCCTGAGTTTGTCCCCCTACGAACAAAAGCTAAGGAGATTCTCCAGGAGGAGGAGGACCTGGCTGAAATTGTGCAGCTTGTAGGCAAGGTGAGTCAGGTTTACAGAGAATAATTTCACATGAGAACACATAAATGTGTTTACGTTAACTGTTACGATAATAAAGATGCTGATTAAATGAACTTTTTTGTTAATAAGGTTTAATTTCTCTAACCCATTCACACTAAAAGCCCATCTTAAATGTAATTTTCATGCTGTGTTTAGTTTAAGAGAATATGATTGGCTTCTGTTAACCAGTAAATCTCAAAAATGAAAAGAGAACGTTTTAGCATGTGGGCGTTACAACTAAACTCTGGAGGTATTCCTTATTCTTCTTCATTTACTAAATGTGATTTTAGACACACAGTCATTCTATTTCTAACCAGCAGGATTATATCTAATTGTTGGATTATTTTCCCCGTTCAGGGAGCAAGAGGGAAATTGGAAATACAGCCCGTCTGTTTTGTGAGCATGTTAACTTTAAAAATAAATGTATTACCGTTGTCCATTATGGTGTGGCTGCATCTTGGCTGAAGAAAGGTCACTATCAGAAACTGGGTTGCCACGTCAAAATCCAAGATGGCTGCTTCCATAAATGTGTATAAATCTTATGAGTTGGATAATGGAAAATAAATAGCGTGCCAACTTCAGTTTTGGTGTGTTGCCACATCCATTGACTACCCCCCACCCCGACTGGTGGTGGAACAAATGTCTCCCTCCACTCAGCAGGATCTGTGACTCTGCGCTGCCTCAGACAAGAAAAAACAAAAAAACATCCCCTTCTTCTCCACAGTGTTACTCCTGCCCACTTGTATATCCTGCACCAGTAACATTAAGGTTTACTTCATTCCCTGTTCACTTCCAGTCCAGAAAAACACTCCTCTTGAAAACTACAAACATTCACTATTCAAATCCCTCAGAGACGGGGAACACTGGTGTACATCTTGTTAAGATGCTATTGAGGTTAATCTGAGTAAGAAATCTAATCCCCGCTGCTCTTTTTGTTTCTTCACAGGCTTCTCTCGCTGAAACTGATAAAATTACTCTGGAAGTCGCCAAACTCATCAAGGATGACTTCCTGCAGCAGAATGGTTACACCCCCTACGACAGGTGACCACACGACCTGAACCTTAGTTTTTATACATGGTGGGAATACCAATAGTTTTCTCACTAACTGAACTGGTTTGGTCAGCTGTGGTCTGTTAAAGCACAGATGTTGCATTCTGTGATAAATCAGAAATGCATCTTCTGTCTGAAAAGAATATTTAAAAAATAGTAATAAAAAGCCAGATTTTCTCATTTGTTTGTAACCAGTAAGGAATATTAGCTCACTTCTGTCTGAAGTGAACTGCACAACAGTTAACATTTAATTTAGAAGATGAGTGGAAATAATGATGAAGAACCTGGTTTACTTCCAATAAGCACTGGAACTGTGGAGAAAAACAATATTGTCTTTGCAACTATAAAACCTGAAGACTTTTAAACCTCAGAGGAGCAAAAAACATGTCTGTTATGTTTTATCTGAATATTTTAGTCGATTACTTCAGACACCCAAATATCTGTACTCAAGCTCTGAAAGTTTTTCTTAACTTCGCCACAATATAATTTTAAAATAACTAAATAAATAACTGGACAGCTTGTAAAGCAGATGTTTTCCTTCATGTGTTCCATAAACCAACATGGCTCCTTCGCCGCTCACAGGTTCTGCCCTTTTTACAAAACGGTTGGCATCCTCTCCAACATGATCTCGTTTTACGACATGGCCCGACACGCAGTGGAGTCCACGGCTCAGAGCGACAACAAGATCACGTGGGCCATGATCAGGGAGCACATGGGGGAGATCCTGTACAAGATGAGCTCCATGAAGTTCAAGGTAGAACTGAAGAATCGCTTTCCTCTTTATCTTTTATGTGTAACGTCAAGATGTTTGCCTTTTCGTTCACGTGCGTTTGTCTCCATCAGGACCCCGTTAAAGACGGCGAGGCTAAGATTAAAGCAGATTACGCCCAGCTGCTGGAGGACATGCAAAATGCCTTCAGGACCTTAGAGGAATGACTTTCCAACCCGAACATCCAAACCCAGTGAGATGAAGTGCAGAGGAACTGGTCCCAGCTCTGATTTTCTGCCTCAGTCATGGGAACGCGTGTCTTTTTGTTCTGTTTACATCCCTCTATGAACATTCCGTGACTCTTACCATTTTTTTTTTACTTCATTTAATTATTAAAAAAAATTGAACAGCTGCTGGAATCCAAACAGCAGATTTGCTGTGGTTCACAGAAACGGACGCCTCGTCTCAAATCATTTCGAAGGATTTCTTCACCATCAGACCTCGCTGACGTGATTTAAATCAGCGCATCTCACTCAGGTACTTCAGGCACGCTGCTGTTCGCTGCAACAAAGAGCGGAAATGATGATCCGACTCCTTGAATCAAATGGGAGCATGAATGAAGGGACAGAGTCGTTTACTCGTTGGAGGTTAAAAGCAATAATTCCACCTCTTCTTGAATGTGGCTGGAATGTTATAAATTATACTTGATGTTTAAAAATGTGTGATTGAATTGCGTAGTTTGTGTTGTTACAAATGTCTCACTATTCATAGTTAAAAAAATAAACCTGTCTCCTTAAATAAATCTAAAAAAAAAAAAATTACTATTAGATTTCTTGTATTTTAATTTGTACCTTATTTTTCAGGTGCAGGTTTAATGCATTCATTAAACATTTTTATATATATTTTTTTTTTTTAATACTTCTGTCAAAGCCGGCGGACGTATTATAGTTTATTCTACGTTTAGAAAAACTTCATATTCATTTACAACCAGTAGAAGGACTCTCTCATACAGTTTTTATCGCCCCGTTAGCGTTTGGTTAAATCATTCAGTCACCATTTACAGTATTTATTCATAGAGCCCTTTCCAACAGCCAAAAGGTGCACGAAGTGCTTCACAGTACAAAAGTTAACATGAACAATTAGGCCTGTCGCAATAAACAATAAATCAATTAATCGCATGATAAATGAAAATTATCGACCTCGTTTTCATTTATCGGCTTTATCGTTTCTTCGTGTCTCTCGTTCTACTGAAGACACTGGATGACAAAAGGCTCAACTCTGGTGTTCTTCACTGACCCCTCTCTTTCTCCTTTCTCCTTAAAATCTGTTTTAACAATCCAAAATCGTGTTTTTGGATCGTTAAAAGCAGCTAAGCTGAGAAGTTAAGCTACAAGCTAAGCTAACAGGCCGACCTCGGGTGAAAAAACCTCCGTCTTGTCGAAGCTCCAAAATTCACGGTTGAAACTTTTGCCTTCGTGTAAAAAGTTGATTTTCTCGGCAAAAAGAACCTGAGAATTTTTTAACTGATTTTTTTATTTTTTTTATTAAAAGCTTTGTGTGAAAAATGCTATGCTAAAGAGCTCAAACTACACCGAGCATCTGCCATTTTGAGAACCGGAAAAAAAGGAAGAGACAGCCCATGTCACGTCAAGGGGCCTCCCTCCCATTTTTTTTTAAAGAGAGACGCTGCTCGCTCCCTCACTATCCATCCTTTGGTCCAAACTGTCTTATACTGCCATCCGGTGGTCAAAAAAAGTACTACATTCAAAACAAATACATTTTTTTTCTTAAATTTATTGTCAAATTTCAAACAATATTATTGTTTATTGCAATAATTTCTGAGACAATCACCCAGCAAATTTTGTTATTGTGACAGGCCTATGAACAATAAAACAAAAATGTCAGATACAAAAATGTCAAGAGCACCACTAGGTATTCAAAGCCTGCCTGAATTAAAAGATTTTAAGATTGGATTAAAAAAAGGCCCATATCAGTGATGGGGTGCAAGTCCTAAAAAAGTTGGATCCACAATCTGGGTGCAGCGCCCCAAAAGGTCCAGCGCCCCGGTGTTTGTATTTGGACCTTGGGACAAACAGTAAAGATATACAGTAGTCCCTCATTTATCACGGGGGGTCCGTAACTAGCACGGCATGTCGTGATCTCCGCTCTCGGCCACCTGCAGCTCTCTGCCACGCCCACTTCTCTGCTGCAATCGCTGGCAGGCGGCAGAGAGCGGATCATGACACGCTGCAGGAGGGAGCTTCTCCCTGCACCTGTGGGCTGTACACAGGTGCTAAATAATTTAAAATAATTTATTTTAAATAAACAGTCCATGACGCTCGTGCGGCTCATCCATCAATCAGCCGATTGTGTGTCTTGTCCAATCCTACTTTGGAAAACCGCAAAACATCGAGTCCGCAAAAGTCGAACAGCGAATTAGCGAGGGACTACTGTATACGTTGAACTTGAAGTCATCTCTTGCTCACAGAACGCTGATAAATCAGCTAAATAAGGCGAGGCGAGACCGTTGAGCTGTAAAAGTGAACAACAAGAGCTTAAAATCAGTTCTTAAATGGCGAGAGAATAAAACAGGGTGATGTGCTCGCATCTGGGAGTTTTTCAGCAGGTTTCACCTCAACCTCATGCTTGTAGCCTTGAACAAGCTACTGGTTGGATTCTACACTGATATTTGACCACTGTTCTGTGCAGAAACAGTAATGATTAGTAAATTTGGGTGGTTTCCTGGTGCGCACACAGCTTTTAAGCACAGCCCACACCACACATTTCCAGTCGGGCTGAGCTTTGAGATGGGCGCTCCAGAAGTCTCATGTTGGCCTTCTTTATTCAATTAGAAACTAGTTTCACTGTGTGTTTGAGTCTAGGTCCGGTTGGAACTCCCGTTTGTGCACAAATGTCAACTTCCTAAAAGATAACTCTATTTCAAGCCCGAAGAGTTATTGTCCAAGACCACTTCAAAAGATAAGAAGCGCCCTGGAGTAAAACAGGAACAAATTCTGCACTGTAATAAACAGCTGTAAACGTATATCCCTTATCTTCAACACTGGCTAACTGGCCAGTGTTGACGTAACATCCTCATAATGGGTTTGGAGCCCTTATCTTAGATTGTGGGCTCCATTAAGGCTAATGGAAGCAGAACCTGCAGCAGCTTTTCCTCCACATTGATTCAGTTTGTCGAGACGCGCAGTTTTTATGGTCATTAAGTGCCGGGAATTCAGAGGGTCTGTAAGGCTCGTATAATGCACCTGCATCTCTCATCCTTCAGACTGCGATGACTGATGGAGAGGGAGTGCATTAAGAAGACATTAACAAAACTAATTGAGTTTACTCCTGCGATTCCACCACATGGAACAACAGCTCAGGCTTTTACGTCGCGTTGGCGTGGAAGAGGTGCTTAAAGATCTTTGTAGTCAAGTTATTTTTGTTGCTCAAAAGCAGAGGGGTAATGTTTTTGTCTCGCGTCGCAGAGCGAAAAGTGGGAATAGGAAAACTCGTCCGTCTGTGCATATCATGATAATTACACGCAAGTCTACAGCTGCTAAACTTTTGTAGTCGATCTAGTTCAAGATGGTCGCCACAGCTAATCGAAATCGGGCAACACAAAAATGTTTATAGCTCAGTTAATTTTACAGATATTGAGCCAAAATGTGGTGTGGTAGTAGCTGGGAGTCGTTCACAACACATACTCTGAGGGTGAGCTCTTATAATACTCTGTGACCAACTTTATTTTCAAGGTTTGATCATTTCTGATGATCTTGGTCTGAAACTGGCAGGAAAAGGCTGCGGACGATATGTATTCCTTCAACGAATGCTACCCTCTGATTAGTAAATGTTTTAATGAAATGATGTCCAGGATTATAGGAAGGTCAAACCTACCACCAAACTACTTTCTGTCCCTCGTCACAGAGCAAAAAGGGGGAATTGGAAACACCGTCCGTTTGTCTGTCCATGTATGTTGTGAGCTGGATAACTTAAAAAAAATTAATGAGGTACTGTCTTCCACTTTGATGTGTGGCTACATCCAGGTGTCAGAACGATTACCATCAAAAATTGAGTTGCCAAGTCAAAATCCAAAAAATCCAAGATGTCTGCCACCATATATATATCTATATTTAAACCCATCACCCCTATTATTTGAGGAAACTGCTTTCTAGTTTTCATATTGCTTAAATATATAATTTTTTCAAATGATTGGGGTGGCTGAAGATTAATCTATGGGGGCCAAGTCCACCATTGGCCACCCCCTGGCTCCTCCATTGCTCCTGGTGGATAAAATGTCCTTCCTCCTAGATCTATCACTCCACACTGATTCTGACAAGAAAAAAAAACTGCCTCTGTTCTTTTCCACAGTGTAACTCATACCCACCTGAACATCTTGCACCAAAAACATTTAGGTTTACTTGTGTTCGTCATGCATTTCCAGTCCAGGGAAACGCTCATCTCCAAAACTACAAATATTCACTAGTCAAATCCCTTGATCATGGGGAACATACCACCTGTTACCTATGTGTGTGTTATTTTAATAAAGCTCAAAGAGTAATCAATAGATAAACATCTACACCTGATCAGGTTTGGAGTCTAACACAAATCAAGATGGCTGCCACAACCGACTCACCGTGAAAAACAGAAATGACTCTAATTTAGTCAAATTTACACACATTGAGCTTAAACTTCATGTGCTGAAAGTCATCCCTGACACATTGCACTATTAGCTAATGCATTGGCATTAAATGTTAACAATGTGTTAGCAAAATATAACTTGAATGACTGGTGAAAGTTTCATCTACAACTGGTTAACCTTTGGAGTGAACCCATTTCAAGATGGCTGCGACAGCCGAGTGCCTTTAGCCAGCAGAAAAGTGGCTAAAACTTGGTCAGTTTTGCAGAACCTGAGCTGAAGTTTGGTGTGGTAGTAGCAGACAGTCATCCTCATGGTGTACTCTGAGCACTAGCATGTCGTCCATGGGGTTGTTGTCATTTACGAGGTTTGAACGTCTCGAACTCTAGAAGGTGGGTTCAGTTGAGAACTCGTGCACACAACGCAGCGGGTGATGCAATTCCTTTAATTTAACCTTCGAATCCCTGGGATGTTGTCTCTTCCAGGCACTCTGTGCACGTTCTCCTCTCTCGTGCACAGTTTCATCAGAGCTTTCTGTTAACACAGTGTGGTCTGCATTAAACACTTCCTGTCCTATTTGTTTCTGCTCACTGATGCTTAAAAAAAAAAAAAAAAACGGAGGCCATTAAAAAACTCTGCTGATGTGTTTATGAGCTGGAGCAGGAGCTGAATCATCTTTTATGCTCCACTAGTGAAAGAAAACTTTCCTGCAGTGGTCGCTCTTACCGCCCTGTCACTGTGGTGCTGCCACAGGATGAAGAGTCACGCGTTGATCACACACATACTTTCCCCGAGTTTTCTGCTTAGGAGCTCCAAGGTCAAATATCTTGGAGGAAATCTGATCTGTGAGGGTGGGGCTGGCCCCGCGGATCATCGCTCACTCTCTCAGCCTCGAGTGCCTGTCATGGTTCTCATGCTCCTCCAAACTCGCTTTGGATTATCAGGGCTGCAGATTTTGAGCACCTTAGCACCCGGGGCCCCTCGCAGCCCAGCCGAGAGCCTCCTCCTGGGGTGGCTCCTATGTTTATTAGGATGCAGGACAGGGTGGGATCATGCCAGAGGACGACTTGTAAACTGTTCGTCATGTGAGAAAGACAGCCGAGCAGGCTGATGGAGGCAGCACTGGTCAGGAGGAATTAAAGCTGCCTTCAGTTGGGACACTTCCACCGCCGAGTCTGAGAAATGAAAACCATCTCAGTGCTGCAGCAGCAACACTGAAACCTGACCTTTTTTTGTTTTTAACACAAACGACTGATGAGAAATTAAGCTACTCTTTGTTTTTTCCTCCCCTCTGTCACTCACAGAAGGAGCTTAGTGACATGTCCTCTTCTTTTTTTTTTTACTTTGTTTCCTGAGGAGCAACTAACTTTCACCTGCAATCAGAAAACCAAACCTCACATTTGACTTTATTTTTGTCCTCGTCAAAACAAAAGGTAAGTAAAGACGATCAATATTTGCTGAATGTGCTTTTTTTGTTGTTGTTTCACTCTCAAAATGAATTTATTTATAATTTTGATTCCAGTTTTTAACTTTTTTTTTTCTGCTAATTAACGCCCAGGTCAGGTTTTATGTATTCTCAGCAACGAATCGGTCTAAATTAATAAATAATAAATCAGACTAACAATAACTCAAGTGCTTCTCAGAGTGTTCAGGTCTCAGATTTGATGACCCACATACTTTGTCCCTGTGGACACGCTGGCCTTGTTTTAACAAATTAAATTAGAGACGCTTGGGGGCCTAACAGCAACGAGAAGCTTCTGATTAGGATTTTTTTTTTTCTAATTAAGAAATTGTTAAAAATAAAATACCTAATACATTCCCAAAATTAGTGATTTTCTTTTAAATCTGTATTATGTCGGACATGTAATCAATAGTGTTTTGCTGTGTTAAGTATGTGAAAGTAAGCACAATGACTTTTTGTATTTTTATTTTTTACATCTAATTATCTCTTGATTTAAACTTATGTTTCAGAATTAGATTGTTTTTTCTGTATGAAACACAAAAAACAATCCCGGTGGGAAATAGATTTTCTGTTAAAACCCAATAAAAGCATGCATCTCGTCTGAGTTTAACAAATCTGTAATCAAGTAAATGAGGGATTTTCATGTATGACAGAACAACAAATTTATTTTGTTTGTGTGTCAACATTTATTCTACATATCTGAAGCAGCTTGGTGCTTCTTCTAATGGTTTTACTGGTCAGGTCACTATGAAGTGGGAGAAGTTGAAACCCCCGGAGCCAGACGACCCTCTCTGCTGCTGTGAATGTGACTTCTACCAGAGCAGATGTTGCGACTGTGAAGACCTGGATGAAGCCTTTCACAGGTGTGCGATGAAGCTACTTTACTATGGAAGCGAAAGTGTCTCAATTTTCAAATTAAAATAGATTAATAGAAATGCTTTTCATTTTCAAAATAAAGCTGCATGTTTTGACTTGTAAATAAAATTCAAAATAAATCATCCAAACTGCATTTTCATATTCAAGGCTGCTCAATTTGTAAATTAATTACGATGATAAATAAAATTGCCACAGACGTCACTCTCCTGCGCCGCTTGGAATTGATCATTCAAACTGATTTATGGAACACTTTGCGGGGGCGAGCGTGTAAACGAAAAAGCAGTTTCCTCTTAGTTTTCTCTGTGGTTGTGTCACACAATGAGCAGTGTTGAGACGAAAATGACAATACAGTTCGGATGATGCAATTTCATTTGAGTCAAAACATGCAATGAAAAAGCATTTCTGCTAATTCATTTTAATTTTCAAATTTGACATTTCAAAATGAATTTCAGTCACTTTTTACAAGGGATATATTTTGAAAATTAAACGTTAACGTTATTTTATGTATCATTTTAATTCATTCACAAACTGAGCAGTCTTGAAGAAAAAAATGAAAATGCAGTTTGGATGATTTATTTTTCATTTTATTTATGAGTCAAAACTTGCAGCTTTGTTTTGAAAATGAATCCATTTAATCCATTTTAATTTGAAAATTAAGACACTTTCGCTTCCATACTTCACTGGAGAACAGAACCAGCTTGTTTGTTACTCACACACAGACCAGGAAGCTCTGACGCTACCGATCGTCTTAATCGCTTTCAAGCATTCAGACTGCGTTCACTGAAATATGATACTAAAGTTAGCAGCTAAAAAAACACATCTCATAAGATAAACTTTAGAACCTTTTGCTTTGGAAATTATTGATAGCAGTCCTCTGGTGTGGTCCCTGATTTTAAAATTGGTGATTCATCCGTTGCTTGAAAAAAATCTGGTTTGGATCCCACGATTCTTGCAAACTTCAGGCCCATTCTAAACTTTCTTTCCTTTCTCGAGGAGCACAATATTCTTGAGGTTTTCCAGTCTGGTTTTAATCCTCTTCACAGCCCTGAAGCAGCTCTTTTAAAAGTTTTTGGTGATATTCGTTTAGCTATGGACTTCGGTGATTGTGTCATCTTTGTGCTTTTAGATCTCACAGCTGCTTTTGTCCATGTGGACCATGACATTCTGCTAACTCATTTTGAGCAGGGAGGGGGGGTCAGGGGCAATGCTTTGAAATGGTTTAGGTCCTATTTGACAAACAAAAGGTTTGGTGTTAGCCTGGATGGTTCAGTATCCTCCTTAGCTCCTCTTTTTTTGAGGAGTCCCACAAGGCTCAATTTTAGACACTCTTCTAATTTCACTCTACCTCCTTCTGCTCGGTTCCATACTAAGAAAATTTGATGTTTTTTATTTAAATTTTTTTGATAGTCGTATGTATGTGCCTCTTAAAATAACAGACACAAAGTCTATCAATCTGTTTCTTCTGTGTCTTGAGGACACAAAGGCCTGGGTAGCACTTACTTGTGAAGCTTTTAACAAAAAAAAAAGAGGTGACTGGTTTTGGAGACACCACTGTGTCTCCCTTCTGAATTTAGGTTCCTTAGCCTAGTACAGGAAACCAGCTGTGAGGAATCTGGGGGTCTAACTGGATCCTGAGCTTAAATTAGACCATTAGATCAGGGCAGTTGTTGAAAGAAGGATTTTTTTAAATCATGTGAGGCAGCTGGCCAAAATAAAACCCATTCTTTCAAGAAGGCATTTTGAGGAAGTAATTCATGTCCTCGTCAACTGGATTACTGTAATAACCTTTGGGGGGGGGTCAGTGAGTCGTCCATTACCCGACTGCAGAGGGTCCAAAATGCTGCAGGGTGACTTTCAACTGGCACACATGAACACAAGCACATGTCCCCTGTTTTATCTTCACTCTTTGGCTTCTCATACATTTTAGGATCCATCTTGAAATTATTTTATTTGCTTTTAAATCCTTGAATGGCCTCGCTCCTCCCTACCTTTCAGAGCTGCTACACCCTTACACCCCCACCTGCTCTCTCAGATCAGCTGACCAGCTCCTGAGGGTCCCCAAAACTAAACACAAACTGCGGGGGGGGTCATGCTTTTCTTGTAGCTACTTCTAAAATTTGGAACAAGCTTCCACTTTACTTTACACATGCCTCTTCACTTCCTGACTTTGGGTTCTTATGTAAAACCTTCCATTGTTTCCCCTGTTGCAGAGCAAAGAGGGAGTATTGGAAACCACTCGCTGTCCGTCCATCCATCCATGCACGCTGAGCACGACAACTTGAAAAATAAGTGGGGAACCACCTTCCATTTTGGTGTGTGGCTGCATTTAGAAGTAAGAAAAGCCACTATCAAAAACTGGGTTCCCACATCAAAATCCAAGATGGCCACCCACCACTATATACATGTATATGTAAACCAACCACCCCAATAGTTAGAGAAAACTATGCTTTCTAGTTTTTGTAATGTTTAAAAGTACAGTTTCCTGAAATGACTGGAGTGGCCAAAGTTTAAACTACGAAGGCCACCTCACTCCCCCCGCTGTCACCCCCAGACTCCACCGTTGCACCTGGTAGTGGATAAAATTGCTTCCTCCACTCGCCAGCATCCGTCCCTCTGTACTGCCTCAGAGAAAAAATAAAAAACTCCTACTTGAATAACTTGCACCAAAAACATTAAGGTTTACTTCATTCTTTGTTCAGTTCCAGTCTAGAAAAACACTCGTCTCAAATTCAAACGTTCACTTTTCAAATCCCTCAGAGACGAGGGGCATCGTGGTACCACTCGTTTCTTTTTCGTTTGACACTAGAAAGACTTTATCTTACATGCTGGGATTTTTTTTCTTGATTTTATTGTCTTTTATCAGTTTTTATCAGTTTTTATTGGATTTTATTATTTTGGGTTTTTTTACTTTCATGTTTTCATTTGTCTGCTGTTTGTCTGCAGCACTTTGTGCTTTATGAATAGAGTTGTATGGATAACTAAAAACTTGCCTTCAAGTTGATTTTAGCTTCTAATATAAAAGTCAAAACCTTATCTCAGCCTTCAAAGTTCTTAGCATAAACTCACAAAATACACCAACTTTCCACTAATGCATATGAAACAGTTTCATGTGTTTGAAGTAAATCCTGACCACCTCTCTGTGCAGGTGGCTGAAGAAGAGACCAGCTCCTCACGGACTCCAGTTTGCTGTGTTTGAGGCCATGATTGAGAACCTGGAGATCTCCATGATCCCAGCCCTGCTGCTGCTTCCTCTCCTGCTGAGGGTCGCCTCTCTGCACTACCTGCTGGGCCTCGTCCTCCTCACCACTCTGCCCGGCCTGGTCCTGTGGTACTACTACGCCACGCACCGAAGGAAGAGGCGCACCCTCTTCTTCCTCAGTCTGGCTCTGTACTCTCTAGCCTACATGTATTACCTCTTCGTCGTGGAGATTTTACCCCGCGGGGATGTCAGCCCGCTGCAGGCGTGTGCCGTGACCTCTGGGATGATTCTCACTTTAGTTTCTCTCATCCACACCAAGCGAGGCCCCGGGTTTGTGACCGTTGCGCTGCATGAAGCGCACAGCCGCAGGATGAAGGCTGCAGAGGACGCCACGCACCAGTTAGCAGGAGAACAACCGCTCACAGAGAAATGGAGCTTGTGTCCGGTGTGCAAAATAATGCGACCCCCACGAGCCGGACACTGCAGAACCTGTGAGTCCTGTGTCCAGCGCCTGGACCACCACTGTGTCTGGTGGGTCTTATCTGAAATCTGTGGTCATGCATCCTTTCTGTGTCTGCCCATGTGACAAGAGGATGGATTTGATGAAAGTACAGGAAACACTCGTAACAGGAAAATGTTTCCTTTTATCATTTGTTTAGAAGCTTTTTGGTTGTCGGAAGCTATTTAGGTCAATACTTGATGCTGTGTCTTCACCGTAGACAGAGTGTTCTCCGCTCATCCTCATCTGTTGTTCGCAACATCGTGGGGAAACTAAGATGGCGTCCAATGTTCACTGCACACCTGATGCTGCTTTGAAGGATAAAACGTGTCTGTTGATATTGACTAACCATCTTCTCAGTAGATCTGGTTTGTCTAATGCAGGGGTCTGCAACCTGTGGCTCTTTGGTTCCTCTGTAGCAGCTTTTTCAAACTAGGGCCAAACTGAACAAACCAATGCTAGTTTAACAGTTTCCTGTCATTTCTTTGGCTAATTTGTGAATACTAGTGCTAATACAAGGTGTTACATCATTTTCAGCCCCTTTTTGGCATCTGCATTTGGTATCAGGCCAAACTGACAAAAACCATGCAGAATAATGTAGTGTTTTAATTCCACAACAGAGAAAGCTATGTAGTCTCTGTAAGTAGGTCTAGGGAAAAAAAATCGGTATTAGTATCGGTTATCAGCTAAATAAGTTTTAACATATCGGCATATCGGATATCGGCCAGAAATCCAATATCGTGCATCCCTAATTTTTAGTTTTATTATGCCATTCGTAATGACCTGAAAAACCTCCTCCAAGAAACTTCAAGTGGTCCACGGGCCACCAGTTGATAATCGCAGTTGGAGCAGGTTTTTAATTTAGTGAATGAAGGGGCAGAAATGGCTCTTTGGATCTTCAAGGTTGCAGACCGCTGGTCTAATGGAAACCTACAAATAGTCAAATATATAATATTATTTTACTCTATGTAAATATTACTGTCAGAAAAAAGACATTCACAAACGATCAGGTGTGGTCTTAATCCAATTTAATAAGACAAAGCTTTGGAGAACAGCCAGACCCACAGAGAGTCAATGCATCACAAGTACTGAACTTATTCATGCCTTGTCCTGTCTGAGTTCTGACCCGTTCTGACTTCCTGCAATGAAAAGGTTAGTTTTGTGGAAAACTCATCAGGGGACTGGCCCTCCCCTTCACCTCGTCCTAGTGTTTTCCAGAACCGAACGCAGGCGGACAACAGTCTCTCAGAAAACATTTTCAAGGTTTCTTACAGGAGCATCTCTACCAGCTGTCCTCTGGCACATTCCACAAACTGATACCAAAGCCTTACATTTTAAAGTAAAAAATATATATATTTTAAAGGTTAATAATATGATAAATGAATATTGAATGTATCAGGAAGCAGATCAATAAATAATATATTCACTTCACAATTACAACAGCAGAGGCGACATCAGTTTGGACTATTTAATTATTTGTATTAAACTGTAGTGTGATTCAGACTGTACAGCACAACAATATCTGATGAATGAACTTTATTTCAAAAGGGAAAATGTACAACTCAAACATAAATGTCACCATTTGATGTGCTGAACCAGATTATAGCAAAAGCTAGTTCGCATCTGTCCCTTGACAAGTTACGAAAACGGATATACGATGCAATAATAAAATAAGACCGAATCTGCCACAGAAGCTACAATCCACAGCCGATTCAATAATTAGCAGCCATTGCATCGGCTTTATAGTTTACTTTTAAACAGGTCCATTAGCTTTAGTTCTGGTCAGATCCATACTGAGGAAAATAAGATCAAATCTGCTGACTTGTGAAAGGACGGAGACACGTTGTCTCTTTTCTGTCGCTAACATCTGTAGCACACACAGCTTTCTGGCATTTTTACATTTTATTCTAATATTATATTATTGTTATATTACAGACGTTTATATATATTTATATATATATTTACATAGTCAGCTGTTACTCAGAACTATTAAGTCAAAACACCAAGTGCAGACTTTGACCTTTTTGATAATGGCACGGTCGTGTGCTCACAGCGCCCTCTAGTGGTTCATGGTCATATCAGACTGGATCCTGATCACAGTGGTCAAAGTGCAAACCTGTCATTAATCTAAAACTCTCATTCTGTTTCATCATTTCATGGAAGGTCACGGTGCGGCTTAATTTTCCCACGTTTCCCAGATGTGCTTTTGTTGTTGTTCAAAAGAAGCGTAGAGAATCCATTTAAGGTGAAAGGGTGATAATGTTTTTTGCCTCTGTCTGTATGTTTGCGTTTGTCTGTGGTGTCAGCAAAATATCATCATAAAACACCGAAGGGTTTTTGTTTAAATTAATTATTGGACATGCACCTAAAGCTGATTAAATTTTAGGTTTCATCCAGTTCAGCTCAGCAACTCTAGCAAAGACGGAAACGACTGCAACTCGAACCAAAATGGAGCAAGTTGTGGCGCGGCAGTAGCTGAGAGTCATTCACAGCTCATACTCTAAGAGCCATCAGATTTGCCTTTAGCTAGTAAAATCCAATCTGTCTATTAGCAAAATATCTCATAAAGCACTGGGTCGATTTTAATGAAAATCTTAAAACTTAATTGTTCGATGTGAATCTACTTCGTAAATCTTTTTGGAGTCAGTCCAGTGCAAGATGGCTACATTAGCCAACACAGAAATGGCTCTAACTCAGTTTAACGCAGACTGAGCTGTAATTTGATGTGGTAGTAGCCGAGAGTCACTCTCAGCACATACTTCCGCAGCATGACGCTCAGCTCTTGTCTTCATCCACACCGTGCTGGGAGTGATCAGATTTCCAGTCTCGTTTTCTTGTTGAAATGTGTTTATTGTGGGGCGTCCTGGGAGCTGCTATGAGCCTTTCAATCAGGAGTGGGTTTCGTTTGGCTACTCAGATGGGTTCTTTGATGGGATTGTACCCCCTGTGTCAAATATAAGATTTATAATAGACGGGTTTGTCTTAAACTAATCTGTTGGACACAGATTTATTCCAGTTAAACATCTTATCTGTTATATGAGTATTAGAATCATTTCATAACGAAAGAAACTTGAGCATCCACTCAATTTAAAGACGAAACAAAACAGGAAGAATATAAAAACATGAATTTTGCAGTTTAAACTACAGTTGTATGCGTTTGTGCAGGAGATCCTATTTACCTCCGAATGTGCAGAGCATGGATGCTGAACCGCTCACAGTTTTAAAATGTGCTTGTTGCATGTTGAGACGCTGCAGGATAAACAGCTGCGTTGGACGGGCCAATCATCGCAGCTTCCTGCAGACCCTCTGCGTGTTCGTGCTCACCTCCGTGTACGGGATCAGTTTGGTGCTCGGCAGCCTCTGCCCTCAGCAGCGCCTCATGACAGCTCTGTTCTACTGCCCCGGCATCTACAGTCAGTCCAGGTAGTTCTCTGTCTGATCAGTCAAACGTGAACCGGTGAAGCGAACGGACATTTTCTGAGTCACTAATGACCGTGTGTTTGCAGCACAGCCCTCTGCTTCACCTGCTGTTGGTACAGCGGCATCATCACAGCCGGACTGCTCTACCTGCTGCTCTCACAGCTTCTGAACATCAGCTTCAACGTGACGGAGCGGGAGGCTCAGCTGGCCCTGAGGAACAAAACGGGCCGCAGCCGCCTGTGGGGGCTCGCCGTCGACACCGGGGAGCATTCACGGGGCTTCTATCAGAACTGGGTTGAGTTCCTCACCATGGCAGACGCCTCGGTGTCTCTTCGCTCCAACCTCCCCGACTTGGTCTGATTTCTAAACTTAGCAGTTTGGTTTTACTGAACTAATTCTCTACAAGTTGGTGAGAAACTCTGATTTATATGTTTCAAGCGTTAGATTTGCAGCACAACGCAGGTATGAGATAAAGGTGGAGTAAGTTATTAATGAATGCAAACACAATTTATCACGTTTCTATTTTATTTACCCTTTATTTACACCGGTAGTCTCAGTGAGTCACGAGAAGTCATTTTAAAAAGAGCTGTTTGGGAACAGATGATGGGAGTTAAGAGCCTTGCTCAAGGGCCCAGAGTGGGGAAAAGGAAGGTGGAGGCAGGTGTGGGTGTTTCACCTTTTCCATTTTGATGTTCTCAGTCTGGGGATTTGAACCTGCGACTTTCCGATCACAGGCCCATCGTCTCTAATCTCTGCACCATGTTCTAATTCATGTTCTAGTTCAACGTTTTTTTGTCCCCGTCATGGAGCAGAGAGGGGAGATGGAAATCATTTGTCTTGTGAGCCTGATGATTAAAAATAAGCGACATAGCGACTTCCATTTTAATGTGTGGCTTCATTTAGTTGTATGAACCCATTAAAAATGGGTTGTCGCATTAAATCCAACATGGCCGCCACCATAGTTATATAAACAGACTACCCCATTATTTTAGGAAACTTTGCTTTCTAGTTTTTATTATGCTTAAAATTATAGTTTCCTCAAATGATTGGAGTGACTGAAGATTAATCTATGGGGGGCCAAGGCCACCATTGGCCACCCCCTGGCTCCAACATTGCACCTGGAGGGGGATTAAATGACTCCCTCCGCTCTCCAGAATATCTGTTCTGCCTTTGATGAGAAAATAAAAAATAAAAACCTCCTCCTGTTCTTCTCCACAGTTTAACTCCTCCCCTCTTGAATATCTTGATCCAAAAACATTAAGGTTTACTTCATTGTCTGTTCATTCAGTCCAGAAAAACACTCATCTCCAAAAGCATTCACTGATCAAACCCCTCAGAGATGATGGACATCGACGTACCGCTTGTTGGTTTCAGCATATTTCTTTCCACCATTAATGGTTTTTGACCATCATAACTCAGACTTTTTACCTTAATGCTGTTTTTATTTATTTATTTCAGTTCAACTCTCATTAAGTTATTCTGGCTCCTCCAGTCCCCGGGTCAGATCCCAGCAGCTTCCGAGTCTCAGCTCTGCCGCCACCATCAGGCCTTTCTCCTTAAGGTTCTTTTCCAACAGCCTTTACATTATCGCCCGCTGTCGAATGTGAAATAGCAATAATAACTTGGCCAGTGTGTTAGCAAAATATATTGTAAACCAATGGACTAGTTTTAAGTAAACTGTTGAGACTTGTGGAGTCAACCCGGTTCAAGATGGCTGCCTCGGCTAATCAGCATCAGCCAACACAAAGTGGCTTTACCTCAGATGATTTAGATACTGAGCTAAACTTTCAGGTGGTAGTAGTTGAGACTCTGCACTCGATGACAGCTAACACATCTCACAACCGAGATCACAGGAGACTGAGCAGCTGCACGTTCCATCATAAAATCATCTTCGTTTGAAAGTGTGGCATGAGAAATTGTTGGAATATTTATCTTAGTTCATTTTTAGCCTTTTGTGTTATTTTATTCAGATCTTCTGTGATATTATTTTCCTGCGTTTCATTTTCCCCTTGTTTTTTTTTTTTTAATTAAAATAATCTTAGTCTCAAAAGTACCGGTAGTCATACAAGATTTGTATGGATCACAAGCGTAAATCCAAAAAGAAGTTAAAAAACATAAATAAATTCAATTTGGTTTGTTTCTATAGCTTCAAGTCAGGACAGAAGTCATCTCAGGGCACTGAACAAAAACAGTTATATACATAAAAAAAAGACAATTTTTAAAAAGTTAAATGTGTAAGGAAGCCAGCAGACTCCATGAATCTTCACTTTGTTGCAGTCTCACATCCTGAGCGAGTGCAAAGGCAACTGTGGAAAGGAAAAACTCCCTTTTAACAGGAAGAAACCTCCAGCAGAACCAGGCTCAGGACGAACAAACAGAATGGCAGGTCCAGATGTAACAAAACAACTGGACTTCTGTTCTGTAGCTGAAGATGTTTCGCTTTGAGAAACTGATGAAACGTCTTCAGCTACGGAATAGAAGGCTTTTGTTTGTTTTTAAACCTTTTTTTTTTGTTTTTGTATCATGACCTGGACAACTGAGAATCTTCACAGCATCCACAAATGGGCCACAAGTTTTACAAATGCATAAACTTTTCTTTTTTTTTTTTTCAAATGAACACATTTCTAATTGCACCAGTTGTAATATTCTAGACACACTAATTGTCAAAAACGTAAAAAAATTTAAAAAAAAATCACCTTCTGTGCACAGATCAACTTGCCTGTGAATATAACTTTTGAAATATTTTTACCGCTATTCACAAAGGTGATGCATTCAACATCAAAGGAGTAGGCTATCCTTCATATAGAAAATCCATCCATCCATCCATTATCTTTACCCGTTTATTCCATTTTGGGTCACGGGGGTCGCTGGTGCCCATGTCCAGCAATCACTGTGCGAGGGGCGGGGTACACCCTGGATGGGTCGCAAGTCCATCACAGGGCCACATAGAGACACACGAGACAAACAACCATTCACTCTCTCACTCACACCTAGGGACAATTTAGAGTTACCAATCAGCCTAACATGCATGTTTTTGGACTGTGGGAGGAAACCGGAGCACCCGGAGAAAACCCACGCATGCACAGAGAGAACATGCAAACTCCACCCAGAAAGGCCCCTGGACCGGGGTTTGAACCAGGGACCTGCTCGCTGAGAGGCAGCAGCTCTACCAGTTGCGCCACTGTGCTGCCCCATATAGAAAATGTATCAGTAAAAATATATTTTCCCGGGAGTTTTTCAACAAGAAGAAGAACCATTTTTAATGTTCGTTTTAAGTCCATAAGAATAACTTACTGTGCCAAATTAAAAATGTGCCTTTTTCTAGTAAATCTGGTGACACTCAGATGTCCCAGCTTTTCATTAACCTTGAACGCAGCATGTGAATCTGCAGCGGTAAAAAAATAAAAAAAAAAGTCTCAAAAGTCACATTCACAGGTGAGTTGATCCGACCGCAGCAGGTGATTTGTGCATGTGTATCTTACAATTTGCATGTAAGGAATATTCCTACTTGTGCATTTTGAAATGTGTTCATTTGAAAAACTTTTTAGTCATTTGTTAAACTTGTGTTGCACTTGTGAATCTTATCACAAACAAATGTTGTGCACTTGTGTGACTACCGTCGAGACTAAATGATCTATCTGCTGCCATGACTGGCTCTTGTGTTAGTTACAGTGACGGGCAAATTAAGCTTTTCTGAAGCACTGAAGCATGGTTCAAAAAATGGTTCATTACTCTGAGCTGTTCAACACTGTCTTCTTTGTCTCCATCTTGTGGTCAAAGGTATAAAAGCAGCTTGAACCCGCAGCATGGGACATCCTTCAGAGCCACCAGCAGTTGGTGAACATCCTGAGACATTTCTGTCTCATCCGCTGTCTTTGTGCTGCTTTGAACATTTGTTTTGTGTGTGAAAAGGTTAAAGTTATAATCATTTGATAAATAAATAATTTTAATGAATAAACGTGCTTAAACATGGCATGATGCCCCGTTGCTTGTGACTTCTTGACATTTGTAAACACAGGGTTTTTAAAAAAAAATCATATCTAATTCACACAGCACCAGTTTGGAATGAGGCTTGTGCTGCAGGTTTCCTGCCTCCGTGACTTTATTTTCATACGGAGCTTCAGATTATTGGGTAATAAATCAACTTTTCTATATCCTCCAGTTCTCCTGAGTTTCTGTCCACCACCCGGGTTCTGAAATTCTCCTGAAATCATGACAAAAATAGTTCAAATGCTACAGTATACATGTCAGCTTCAGGTACAAAACAGAGAAGGGCTATGTGGCTCGTTGAAGGGAACCGGATCTTGAAGATCCGTTCACTTGTGTTAAGTTATGATGTCATTATTAACCTTTATTTAACCAGGCAAATCCCATTGAGATCACAGATCTCTTTTGCAAGGACCTGGGCCTGAAGGCAGCGCCTAACATGCATGTTTTTGATCTATGGGAGAAAACCCACGCAATCATGAGAAGAACATGTTAACTCCACACAGAAAGACCCCAGGTCCAACCGGGGATTGAACCCAGGACCTTGCTGTGAGGCAACAGTGCTAGCCACTGATCCATCGTGCTGCCCACATAACATTGTGCCCGAAACCGTTTCATAACCGTGCAGTTATGAAACGGTTTAATTCACAGCTGATTTTCCTGGTTAAACGAGTTTACCTGTTCAGGCTGCTCAGGTACGCAGCTGCGGACCTCTGGGCTTCGGCCTGTCTCTGCATGCTCTTGTTTTCACTGAAACTTTTTTCAGGGGAACTCCAGAAGTTATTCTGCAAATACAAGACAAGTCTCTCATGAGCAAGATGGCTACATCTAGAACAATAATGTATCATGGTGTTATGTAAACAGACCACCCCAGTCATTTGAGGAAACACTTTCTGGTTTTTATATTCCTTAAAAGTAAAGTGTATCCTGTTAGGGTGGCCCTTGGGGTGGACAAAGATTAATCTATGGTGGCCAAGGCCACCACTAGCCACCCCCTGGCTCCACCATTGCACCTGCTGGTGGATAAAAACCTCCCTCTGTTCTTCTCCACAGGAACTCGTACCCACTTGAATATCTTGTCCAGTGCAGTCCAGAAAAACACTCATTTCCAAAACTACAAACATTCACTATTCAAATCCCTCAGAGACAGGGGACATTGATGTTGTGCTTGTTTTTTTTTTTTCTAGTATTTATTACTTTCATCATGATTCAGACGAACATCTTTAACTGATCACATGAGCAGGAGGCTGGAGATGATCTCATTCAGAAGCTGCCAAACCACAAACAATGAACATCTGAGCGCTCACGTTTAACAATGTGCACGTCAACCGTGCCAGCCACCGCCATCGAGACACGTGCACACACACACGGAGACTTGGCACAAAGATTGTTTGTTGTTTGAGTCATTTCATTGTAAATATACAAACAAATTTAAGTTTAAATGCAAATTTGACACGTATTGTCTCGAGTAAAATAACATTTTTGACTTTTTTTTCATTATTTTTTTATTTAGTTGAAATTCAATTCACATCAAAAAGAAGTTGCATGTGACAATAATTTAAATCGGCATTTAAAGATACGATACGTGATCATTTCATCACTTTTTTACAAAATTCCACCTTTGAATTTGGATTAAACAACACGTTGAGCATTAATCACCAAATAATACATTTGAAGTTCCTCTACATTGTAATTATTTTTTATCTTCTTTCTTGGCATCAGAATGTCTTCCAGTGTTATAAAAACATACTATAGTAATTATGTAACTGGAAACAAATGAACAATATATGATAAGTATAATATATTATGTGGCACAGTGACTCTGTTGTGTCTGCGTGCAGGAATAACTGCAACTAAACGTTTCTGCTGATCAGTCCTGCACACAGGCCTGGAGGAGTTTTAGCCCATTCCTCTACAGAACAGCTTCAACTCTGGATGTTGGTGGTTTCCTCACATTATCTGCTGCTTCAGGTCCTTCCACAACATCTGGATTGGATCAGGACTTTGACTTGACCATTCCAAACCATGAACTTTATTCTTCTTGAACCGTTCTTTGGTCGAACCACTCGTGTGCTTGGGATCATTGTGTCGCTGCGTGACCCACCTTCTCTTGAGGTTCAGTTCACGGACAGATGTTCTGACATTCTCCTTTAGAATCCTCTGATATAATTCAGAATTCATTGTTCCATCAATGACGGCAAGCCGTCCTGGTCCAGATGCAGCAGAACAGGCCCAAACCATGATACCACCACCACAATGTTTCACAGATGAGATAATGTTCTTATGCCCAGGGCTGGCCAGAAGGCTGTTGGAAGAATGTTTTGTGGACGGACCAGACCTAAATAGAACTTTGGGTTAAAATGAAAAGTGTAATGTTTGGAGAAGAGAAAACTGCATGATCTTTATCAAACTGCAGACGAGCAGCCATGTTTTTTTTTTGAAGAGCAGTGGCTTCCTCCTTCAACCTGCCATGCACACCATTGTTCAGTGTTCTGCTGATGGTGGACTCATGAACATTAATGTGACAGAGACCTTCAGCTGTTAGAAGTTACTCTGGGCTCCTTTGGGATCTCGCTGACTATTCCACTCCTTGTTCTTAGAGTGATCTTTGTTGGTCCATCACTCCTGGGGAGGGAGACAATGGTCTTGACGTTCCTCCATTTGTACACAATCTGTCTGACTGTGGATTGGTGGAGTCCAAACTCTCTACAGATGTTATGTAACATTTTCCAGCCTGATGAGCATCAACAACTCTTTTTCTGAGCTCCTCAGAACTCTCCTTTGTTCCTGCCATGATACTAACATGATGTGAAGATCAGACTTTGATAGATCCCTGTTCTTTAAATCAAACAGGCACGCTCACGCCTGATCATCATCCCATTGATTGAAAACGCCCGACTCTAATTTCACCTTCAGATTAACTGATAATCCTACAGGTTCACATACTTGTACCACTCACAGATATGTACTGGATCATTTTCCTCAATAAATAAATGGTCAAGTATAATATTTTGTCTCATTTGTTTAACTGGGTTCTCTTTATCTACTTTTAGGACTTGTGTGAAAATCTGATGATGTTTTAGGTCAAATTTATGCAGAAATATAGAAAATTATAAAGGCTATATCAGCTGTATAACATATGGACATCTTGGGTTTTGACCAACCCAGGTTTTGAAAGGAACTTGTCTTACGCCTCGATGCAGACACACGGTTCAAGTGATCGCGCTCACAACGTGCTCGGACAGACGGACAACGGGTTTGTCCGTTTCGTCCTCTTCGCTCCACGACGGGGGACAATAAATCTGATGATAAACACAGAGAACTATGAAAATGTCGCCAAAACAGCACAGGTCCTGACAATGTTTACATCAAATCTGTTAACGAAGCAGTGTTTGACGCCTGTTTCGCTGCCTCTGTGTTTCACCGCTGCTTCTGCTGACAGATGGGTTTCATTGTATCGTCTGGGCCACAGAAAGCACCGGAGGGCCACCACTGCCATGTTGGTCACTTTTAGGATCTAATTTTCTTTTAGTCTTATAAAGCTGCTCAAAGTAGCAACGTGTTTTGACTGAACCTTTTAGCTGTAACCCATCGTGCCCGAAGCTTCACGTGCCTGAGCACCGGCCCAGTCCTGTGGGTGTGTACTGGCTCGATGGATGGGGCGGGGGGAGGGGGGGATACCCATGCTCCACTATATAAAGAGTCATCAACAACAGACATCTACTTCTTCTTCATCATCCTCATCCTGCTCCGAGGCGATGACGTCACTGCTCACCTTGCTGGGGGCCGTGCTCTGCTCCCTGACCGTCTCCTCTGAAGTCCTTCCTCAGGCAGACTTCAACATCCACGAGGTGAGAGGCAGGATTAGCTTTGTGTACGTTCATGCAGTCATACTGTACGAGTTATCTGGTGGTGGAAGGAACAACATTGTACAATTAATATATTGTTGCACATGTGAATTGTAAAAACAACTTTATAAACTTGACATGCGTTTCGTTATGGGTATGTGACTCCTGTCCATATCATCAACTCACTGGTATCATGAGGGTTAGATTAAAAAAATAAAAGTAAATCAGTTACTCATTTTTAATTATTGGTCTTGAAGAGAAATGTATAAGCACTCAAAATTCATCCCTTAATCAAGCTTTAAGGAATACTTGAAGAGAAATGCTATGAACAAATAGTATCTTACATGTTGTAGATGGCTCTTTGAAACAGTTTAAACCCATGGTGGCTGTCAAAACATGATTTTTATTTTTATTTTTTAATGCTCCTAACAGTTTGTACATCAATGAATGATTGTTTGGGGGTTAATGTCACTCAAACTGAGTTTTTGTAAATGTGTTAGAAAGCATCATGCATTTGTTTACAGCTAAATTCAGCAACAGTCACAGAATTTCTCCCATCAGAGTTCAGAATATATTTGCTGGTTGTCATAGCTCCAACTTTTGATTTAATTCTCTCCACCGCTCAGTTTTCTCACACAAAATGCCTCCAATTCTGCCAACGCTAATTTTCTCACTGACGGAGCCGAGGGGTGGCCAATGGTGGCCTTGGCCCCCATAGATTAATCCTTAGCCACCCCAAACATTTAAGTAAACAGTAATTTTAAGCAATATTAAAAACTATAATGCATAGTTAGCTCAAATGATTGAGGTGGCCGGTTTACATATGGTGGCCATCTTGGATTTTGATGTGGCAATCTAATTTTTTAAAGGAACCTTAGTTATGTCTAGATGCAGCCACACATCAAAATGGAAGTCAGTTCACTCATTTCTTATAGTTAACGCTCTCACAAGACGCACGGATGGACGGAGGGATGGAAGCATTCGCAATTCCCCCTTTCCGCTCTGCGGCGAGGAACAACAAATGACTCGTAACCGTTGGCAACTAAACCTGACTCTGCTGATTAATTGTAAAATATACAACAGACATTTGGTAGTTAATGTTGTATATTTAGAGGTAATTTGTTTTGATCATAGATGTTATAAAATATACAACAAAAAAATCCTAATTGTAACATTGAAAATTTGCTGTTTTTTATTTATTTATTTATTTTACAGCTGTTATAGGTTTAATTCTGACCGCATTGACAAAAATAACTAATCTTTGGGACCAAAGTGGATTAGTGTGATTTTATAACTCCAATCTGAAAAGTTTGACAGTGATTTGTGAATGCCATTTTTAAAAAAAAGTCTTTACTCCAATATAAATTTGGCATCACATGCTCATTTTAGCAGAAACATAATATTCCGACTGGGAGTGCTACAGCTAGCTGCTGCCGCTGCTATTTGTATTTTGTAATAATTCCAATTAATTAACAACAAACTGGTCAGAATAGTCTAGTTTTACAAAATGGGGTTGCTCAAAGAGGCATCTCCAACAGGTAAGACATTTATTGTGTAATTGTATTTGGGGTCACTCACTGTGTGGCCACAGGTGGCTGGGAAGTGGTACCTGATCGGCATCGCCTCCAACTCTCACTGGTTGGTCAGCCGCAGAGCTACGATGAAGATGGGCACCGCCGTGCTGAAACCAACTGCAGATGGAGACCTGGAAATGTCTTACGCCAGCCTCACGTGAGCGTGAAAGGATGGAGTGACTGGACATTTGAATCATTTAATGTGAATACAACATAGAAAAGACGGGTTCTGACAGGGTTTCTGTGTCTGCAGCTCTGATGGCTCCTGCTGGAGAAAGAACAAACTGGCCAAAAAGACCGACGTACCTGGGAAGTTCACCTACACCTGTGAGCGTGAGTGACACACGTGCATCACTTAACACAAGCGGTGCCACGCCCGTGTCCCCCGTCGCTGAGGGATTTGATTAGTAAATGTTTTGTAGTTTAGGAGATGTTTTCTGGACTGGAACTGAACAGAGAATGAAGTAAACCTAAATGTTTTTAGTGCAAGATATTCAAGTGAGGAGGAGTTACACTGTGGAGAAGAAGAGAGGGAGGTTTTTTTCTTGTCCGAGGCAGCACAGAGTGATTAATCCTGGAGAGTGGATGGAGACATTTCATCCACCACCAGCAGTGGAGGAGCCAGAGGGTGGCCAAAGGTGGCCAAGTCAAATATTACTTTTCAGCCACCCCAATCATTTGAGGAAATTAAACTTTTAAGCAATATAAAAAAACTAGAGAGCAGTTTACTCAATTGATTGTGGTTGATTTACATTTGAATAAAGAATCTGTAGCTCGCCCTTCTCTTCCACTGCGTGGTCAGGTCCTCCGCCAGAGGCCTGGGAGCCTGCGCAGTATCTTAGCTGTTCATAGGACGGAGCTTGGAGATTTTTCCTGGGATCTAGCGGCACGGTGGCTCAGTTGTTAGAGCTATTGCCTCCTTGCGAGGTCTCTGGATCAAATCCCCACCGGGGGCCTTTCCGGGTGGAGTGTGCGTTTTCTCCAGTTTCCTCCCACAGACCAAACACATGCATGTTAGGCTGATTGGTAACTCTAAATTGTCCCTAGATGTGAGTGAGAGAGTGAAATTGACACCAGTGACACGAAAAGAAAGAAGTGAGAAAAGATCATGGATAGATGGTGGTGGCCATCTTGGAATTTGATGTGGCAACCCAATTTTCGAAATAAACTTTTCTTGCTTAGACGTAGCCACAAATCCAAATGGCAGTTAAGTTACCTAGTCATCATGCTCACAACATGCACGGACATACTTCGCTCTGTGACCGTAACACACACACGTGCACATGAATTAAACCTTCCATCTTTCTGATTTCCCCGTCTGCTCTGCTTGGTCCAGGTTCAGGTGCTTTGAAAGACGTGCGTGTGGTTGATGTGAGGTCTGACGAGTACGCGCTGGTTCACGTCAGCGAGGAGGAAGCGGAGACGACCACCGTCACCAAACTATACGGTAGTCATCGATCGACGTCATTTCAGCCAATCCTGCTCGTTTACATATAATCCGTTAGTTTTATCGCTGTCCAGACGAGCGGGTTAACGCGATGCTGTTTTGACAGGACGTGGACAGGAAGTGGGAGCTGACGTGAAGCAGAAGTTCCAGCAGCTCGCCTTACAAACTGGCACTCTGCCTGAAAACATCATCTTCCTCCCCAAAAACGGTACTTTGATTACTGAACTAAATATCCAGCAACTTAAAGCGACAAGCGCTAATGTCAGCGTTTTGTTTTGTTCAGCCGAGTGCCCAGCCGCCTGACTTCCTGTGAAAAGACCGCCGCCACAAACTGGTTCAATAATCGTCTCCCATCTTCTGTAGCACCACCATTAATCACTGCTGTTGAATAAAATAAGCAAAACCAGCTAAAATATTTTGCTTTATTGTCCTTTTTTTAACAAATACGCCGACGCACATCCATAACGACACAGTTCCTTTGTCATCGAGTGTTTACATCTACACGTTTTGTACAGATTTGTATACAAAACAATAATTTACGTCCCATAGAAGTCTAGTTACACTTAACTATACAACAAGTTGTAAATGAAATAAATATAAAAAAAAAAAAAAACAGAAAATGATCACAGGTGTTAACAGAAAACAACATAAAAAGCCATAAAACATGACCACCACCAGCATCTGTCTTGTGAAGTTGCATCTAAAATGATCAAACGTTTTCCCTTTCTACTGGCAACAAGCGCACGTGTGATGTTAACAGATGTTCATAGCATCGAACCTGCAGCACCACATATACTGTATGGGTCAAACATTCAGAGATTAACGCCATTTTAACAATTGGCCGATTCAGATTGGTGAGAGTTCACTCGTCTAACACGACTGGATTTAAATACTGATTATTCGGGGCTTTGGTCAGGAAACAGAAATATTGGACATGGAGGAATCGCGGCAGTGATTGCAACACGAGTGATATTTGTGAGATTTAATTCACAACCGCACCGTGCCCACCGTCTTTAATGAAGAATGCAGTGATTATGAACGAAGCTCAAAATGCTGCTTTGTTACAGGAAGATGGGCTCAAAGCACCAGGAAGTACAAGTGGGGGTTTCTGTCCCTCTCGCTCGCTCGCTCTCTCTCTCTCTCTCTCTCTCTCTCTCACACACACACACACACACATATAAAATCAATTTTACAAGTGCTATTAAACAGGATGCTAATCCATACCTCTGTTGGGTATCATTTTAACAAAATGATGGAAAAACTTTTTGAAAAGTACATTTCAAATCGAAGACAAATAGTCCGGGCCGTTGTGATTGGGAACTGATTGCTACCTGCCGAATCTACAAAAAGACACCTGCAAGATCTGCCATGCACACAGACACCTGCAAAGGGACATGCAGTTAAAAGCACAAGCCTGTGGAGGCGGGGTGTGTGTGTGGGGGGGGGGGTAATGTTATGTACATGTGATTCCGTTTGTGAGCAAACATTCGGTTGAGGATTGAAAAAGAGCAAAAACAACAGAGGACTGAAGGGCAGCACACACCGAGTGGCTTCTGTGCTGAGAGTGCAACAGCTGGGGTGCGATGGGACGCTCGGGCGTCCGCGTGGCACAGTTTCTGGCTCGGTCAGAGTCACTCCACCTGCACCACGTCCTTGTGGTGGCGCATGATGTGCTGGTTCTTCTCCGAGGGCCGCCTGAAGCCTTTGGAACAGATCTCGCAGCGGTGAGGGTAGTCTTTCGTGTGAATAGAAATGACGTGTCGTTTGAAACCTGAAGCGTCCCCCGTGCTGTAGTCGCAGTACTGGCACTGGTAGATTCTCCTCTCCTTCTGTCCTTTGCCGATAACTACAGTCACGCTGCTAGCTAAGCTGGCGGCGCTGACTCTAGCCGGCGGACCGGCGGCACCGCTCGACGCGCTCGCTGCAGCCTTTTTAGGAGCTACAACAGGAGCGTGCGTCTCTGTCCTCTTAGTCTCTGTCTTTTCAGGCGAGGCCTGCTGCTCTTTTGTGTGGACAGACAAGATGTGGCGACTGAGAACAAACGGGTCTGCAATTTTGAAGTTGCAGTGCCGGCACTGGTGGAGCTTCTTGGTGCGGTGCGCCACCGAGTGCTTCTTCAGTTCAGACGGCCGGTGGAAACCTTTTCCGCACACGGCACATTTGTGCGGGTAGTCCTTGGTGTGAACGGATATGATGTGGCGTTTCAGGTCACTGGAGTTGGAACTTTTGTGGTCACAGTGGTCACAATGGTGCGTCTTGTTCTCCTCGTGCGTCAGTCCGTGCTGCATTAGCTCCTCTTCCTCGGCGAAGGTCTGGAAACAGCGCTCACATTTGTACGGCATCTCCTTGCTATGCTTCGTCTTGATGTGCGTTTTGAGGTTGGAGGAGTCGGCCGACTTGTAGTCGCAGTACATGCAGGAGTACGGCTTTTCACCCGTGTGCGTGCGCATGTGTTTCTTCAACTCTGACGGATGCCGGAAACCTTTCCCGCACTCCACGCAGATGTGAGGGAAGCTTTTGCTGTGAACAGCTAATAAGTGCCGGTTGAGCAGACCCTGCTCAGCAGTTTCATAGTTACAGAACTTGCATTTGTGCATCTTGTTGGGTGGAGGAGGCGGCTGGCTTTTGGGCTCCCGGTGGTGGTGCTGCAGTCTGTGGGAGAACAGCGCCCCCTGCTGGTGGAACTCCTTACCGCACATTTCACACTCGAACGGCGCCTTGCTGCTGAGCGCGTGCACTTCCATGTGATTGTGGAGGCTGGCTTTTTTGTTGGTGGTGAAGTCACAGTCTGTGCATTGGTACTTCTTCCTGGTCAGGACGTCCTGGTGATGATTCTTAGTGTGGCGTTTTAGGAAACCTCGCGACTTGAACTTCTTCCCACAGAGCATGCAAGGGTACACGGTCAGCGGCTGGCCGTACGGACCGATGATGATCGCTGGAGAGAACAGGAGAGAAGGAAATCACTACAGGCCCTTTTTATTCTTTAACAACAAAAAAAAAACTACTATGGTCTTCCTTTTCGTTTTAGTTTTTGAAACATTATTTACATTTAAGGATAAGCATTTTCTATAGTTTACTCCAGCTCTATTATAGTTGAATTTGTGCCCATCAAACAATACAAATTAAGATTTGTGTAAGATTAAGACGATCTATATAAATAAAAACAAACCTGGAACATGAAGCAAAATACATGAACCCTCGTCACCTCTGCACCACAGAGTAAAGCACCTTAAACCACTGAAGTCTGACGTGCTGTTTACTTGGAGCAGAGCAAAAGTCTCCTGTTCAGGTTGAAATCAAAGTTTGATTAAAACCGCTCTGATCTGTTTTGTGTGAATTTCTCTTTCGAGTTTGGAGCCGTTTGTCTTGACGCTTCTCCTTTCCACTGACAATAACAGTACCTTAGTATCGGAGCATGTGCTCATGTGTGAAAGCTTTAGTAGAGTGGAAACTTCTTCAGCAGGTGTTGCAGCCTCCACTCATCTGAATCAGTGGGCCCATCAAGGAAGTGTTCATCACATTTATTAATTTATTTGCATAAAATAAAGAGCATGTTTTTACATGAGAGCACACTTCCAAAGTACAGTGTATTTTTGGGCAGTATCTTAACAGGTTGATTCACTGATCCCTGCTTAAAAAAGTACAAATAAATAATTTGACTGTGAGGGTTTAAGTGAGAGCAGCTTAGAAAACCTTTAGATAGACAAATGGATAAAAGTGTAACATCTGTAACAAAGCAGACAATAACGCCCAGTCTTTGCAGACAGGTGGAAACAAACAAAGAGGAAGCAGCTGGTGTGGACACACTGGTGCTGCTGGTTGGAGGAACTAATGCTCATTACGTTCATGTCTCATTAGAACGGCGGCAGCAGCAGTGAAATGCAGACGTAGGTCAAAGGCAACACGAGTCTCTTCTTCTCAGTGGTGCTCTCACCTGTCTGGACCTGTCGATGCTCCGACCGCCTCCTGTTCTTGGTGCGCTGCCTGTTGATTTCATCCACCCCATCGGACTCGTCGATGTGCAGCAGAGCGCTGGCAGCCCCGTTCCGGTTTTCACAACCCTCGCCATCGTCTACTCCTGATGATGGAACAAGTTTATTAAAAAAGCAGAAACAAGCAGGTCGAAACCTTCAGCCATGGCACGATAAGACTGATGAAGTCTTCCAGCATCCCTTTGGTGCTGACATTAGCAGCACCCGGGCTACAGGCATGTTGAAGCATCACACCAGCAGCTTCAATTTATTGTATTTTCAGATAAAGTTATCGTACACACTCGGTTTTCATTTTAAAGTGTCTCTGAATGATCTCCTTTTCAAACACATTATATTTAACAATGTACATTATAGCATGTAATGTGCTTTTATCTGTACATAATCTAACAGTTGACAAAGACTACAGAACAGTGCCTCCTCTGGCGTGGAGGTCAGGATGAGCCGCTCCTGCACTGAACAACCCACAGTATCAACCACAATGTCTGTTATTTTATTTATTTTAATTTTAAAGGGTTATTTGTGCAATATCCCTTTTTTCATTTCGTTTACTGTATTATTCGTTGTTATAAATAACGTTTGAAAAAAAAAAATGTAATCAGTCAGACGTCTTCTACAGGCTGCTGTTGAACCATCATGGATCAGGGTCCTGCCTCGTAAATAATTTCACATTTATTTTGCTTATATACTAGAAATTAACATCATCACTACTGAACGCCTCTGATGAATTAAACACTTCCCATACAGATCGTCTTTAGTTCCATTCAGGATCACAACTCAGTGACATTTTTGCACCAATGATTTGCAAACAGCAACACCAGCTGTCTAAGCAGGTAATTTGTTGTGAAGCGTCCATCCATCCATCCATCCATCCATCCATCCATGCATCCATCATCTTTAACCACTTTTTTCTTTTCGGGTCACGGGGTCACTGGTGCCCATTTCCAGCCATCACTGTACGAGAGGCGGGGGCACCCTGGACAGGTCTCCAGTCCATCACAGGGACACAGAGACAAACAACCATTCACTCTCACTCACACTTAGGGACAATTAGAGTTACCAATCAGTCTAACATGCATGTTTTTGGTCGGTGGGAGGAAACTGGAGTTCCGGGAGAAAACCCACACGTGCACGTTGAGAACATGCAAACTCCACCATAAATGCAACATAGACAAAACATTGCACTGCAGTAAATATGTTTAGAACAACAAATATATATTTTGTTCTACCAATTCTTTTTTAATGTCACAGTTCCAACACTCCTCCTTTATCTGTGTGTGGGATTGGCAGAAAGATTCACGCTGTTATTTTAGTGCACTGATTTGTTTTAGACATTATTTACATCCCACAGTGGATCAGTCAACAGCAGTGGCATGCACGTGTGAATCACTCCCCCACCTCTTTATGTGCCAGTGGCACATTGTATTGTTAAATTTTGTCATGCACTGAAGTGAAGAAATGTGGACTGCTCATCGTACAGAGGGCAAAATGATCGTACAAATACGATAATTACTGTACGTCTGACAAAGCTGGTCTTGCTTAAAGACGCTCTGTCGTACGATGACTTATGACCGTCTACAATCTATTGTTGCCTTTTCAGTCAGCTGGGACCACATGTAGATGAGCTCAGCACAAAGAAAACCAGAAGAAAAATCTGTTCATGATGGCTACCTCCACTCTTCAGCTGTAGGAAACTCACCGTGGTTTCCTTGATTGTGGTGAGAATCCCCGACAGACATGTAAACCATCTTCTCTCTGAGCGCTTGGCCTGTAGACTCTGTTAGAGCGACACTCTCTGCGTCTCCATCACTGATGTCGACCGATTCTCCTGCAGGAAGAAGCCATCTTTAATTCTCCATGACAAGCCTTCAGTGAACTTCCACCGTACTGCAGGTTTCACTAAGTTGGACTGTTGTCTTTAATGCAATGCATATGTTTATTATGCAAATAAACCCTGATGTAATTGACATGATGCCATCTGTTAATAAGTCTATCAGCAACTGACCAATCAGCAATCACAATTTATCCCCAAGTGAAATGAAGGAGCTGCACCCCCTTTTCTTCTGACAACATTGTTGAGGTTTTGCATTACAAAAGCTATGCGATTAGAGGTTTCGTGAAAAATAATAATAAAAAAAAGTTAACCGATGTCAGTGTGGAACATACAATTCAGGCATGTGTTACCCCGAGCGTTTAGAAGGTGAATACAGTTTATTCTGGAACGATGACTTCTTTACCTTAATGTTGGCTGATAAAGCAGAAATGCCTCATTAAATGCCTCGGGTAACACCGTGAGCTTCACTACCGCCATTACAGCTATCTTGTTGTTTGTCTGAGGTCAGCTCACCCTGGGGTACATTTCCACATGGGTGGAACGATCTTACTCTTCGAGTTATGTCACTTAGTTGCCTTTAGTGAGCTGCGTGTGCCTTCTCACCCATGTCATCCTCTCCAGAATCAGCCTTGAAGATGTAGACCTTTATCACCTCTTGTCCATCTTCATCCTTCTCCACCTCCTGATCCTCCACAGCTCCTTCCACCGTCACCTCCGTTCCATCCTCAGACACCATTTTACCAGCTTCATCCACTAGTGAGGGAAACACACTGCAGTGAGACGACAGACATGTGCCTCTAATACCAAGAGGAATACATTTTGTGATATTTTTTCCTCTCGTTTAGAAAATTAAATTTGATCAAGAGTGTAAAAATATAATTATCACAACACACTGGCTTGACAATCAATAAACCAAGAGTGCTATTTATATGTTGATATTTTGATCACTGTTCTCCGTGGTTCACATGTAGTTAGACAAGATGTTGAATACAACATTGACCAGGACATGTCACTGCAGGTCCCATTAGATAGAATGAGCTGCTGAATGAACATAATAACTAACCTCTAGTACTAAACTTAACAACAACAAAAAAAAAAAGTAATAATAATTTACTCCATTAATTTCTAAGGAAAAATGAGCCAAATTTTAGATTTCAAATAATTACAGTAAGTTGATTTCAATGTGATGAACGGTCATGAGCTATAAAACACGGGTATAACTTTGGTTTTGGCTTAAATTTAACGCAGTATCAAAGCCATATTGGCTAAAAGCAGGGTTCCTACTCATTTGTCATTACAAAAGTCTGTTTTGTCATGTAATTATTAGGGGTGTAACGGTACAAGTGGGTGTACCAAACCGTTTCGGTACGGCGCGTTCGGTTCATGTGCGTACCGTTCGGTTATTTTTTCACTCATTAAATTTTATTAACGAGAGGTTATGCGTCGCGGAACTAAAATTCCTAAGCGTGTTTCAGCACGGCACTATTATCTTGAAGCACGCGTAGAATTAGCAGCCTAGCATGTCGTTGCGGTCTCCTGTTTGGGAACGTTATGTCTTTCTTGTCAACAGACAAGTGAACAAATCCAAAGCTGTGTGTCGACGTAGTTTCACGGAGAGTGGATCTGCAGCAGCAACACGTCTAACTCTTGAAACGACATCATCCGAACGTGAACGTCTCTTCTACAGAAAAGCAGCTTGTTGCAGACAAATAACAGCAGCATTTAAACAACCGTTATCAGGTAATTCAGATCGGTCCAGAGCAATAACACAAGCTGTAGGAGCTTTTAAAGCTCTGGATCTACGTCCGAATGTTGTTGATGCGCCGCTTTAAAGTTATTGAGCCCCGCTACGACATCACGTCACATCAACACTTCAGCCAAAAAGTTGTAGCAGCACTTTATGAAAAAGCTAAAACTGATATCGTCAACAAGCCCTGGACCAGATGAAAGTCCTGCCCTGATGATGATGAAGAGCGAGAGCTCCAACCACCTCTTAACAGAAATGATGGCCGTTCAAGAAGCGGTATTGTTATTTTATTATTACTATCTATTTAACTTTTTTTTATTATTTTTTTTATTATAATCTTATGAACTCTTTTTTTTTTTTACCCATTTGTGTTTTACTTCCAGTCTGGGACAGAGATAGCAGTGGAGTCTTCCTGTTCAGGGAAATCCACCAGAGGTCACCTCCAGCTAAGAATCTGTGATGAGTGAACTCTGAACTCTTCCAGGGACCTGTCCCACCTGTGGGACCAGGTCCAACAGGTTGTGACTAATAATGAGGCCAAATCCAGCCACACTGCAAAATTAGCAAAGCTCTACCTCTTTATTGCTGCTACTGTTAGTGAGAGGTTTCCTCCAGCGCTGGAGATATTCACTGCGACTAGATCTGAGCTTTTGGCAGAAAATGTGGACCAGTTGGTCTTTTTGGCCAAAAACTTAAAACTTGATTATTTATATTGTAAACTGTTGCTGCTTATTGTTCTGGTTCTGACTGTTATTGTATTTATTAAGATTTTCATTATTGTTAGTATAGTTTATTTATTGTAAAGAGTGCCGTTAATTTAAAATATCATCCAAATGGATCACCATTTATTTTTATACAAACATATTGTTTACTTGGCATATTTTCAAAATAAACGTTTTGTAAGTCTTTGTTTAGTCTATTTTTGTACCGAAAATGAACCGAACCCTCCTTGAAACTGAACCGAAATGTGATTTTAGCGTACCGTTACACCCTTAGCAATTATAATTGAAAATAGACTTTTTTCAAGTTTAACTTTCTGTAAATTAATCATGCCTATAAGCTGCATGCACCATAAAAAACATCCACTCACAAACTGTATAGAAAAAAACCTAACTGCAGAAAAAAATGAACTATGAATTAATTCGAGCTAATAGGATTAGCTCCAGGGCTAATTTTTAAGGCATTAGCTGAAGAACTAATAGCATTTGATCCAGTGCTAATATATGACGTTAGCTCCAGTTTGTTTCGACCCATATATTGTGCATAAGGACTAATACAAAATATAACTTTATTGTCACGTTATAACGTTTTAGCCTCGACTCCTTGTGTTTTAGTCTCGCCTATAACTGATGTACGTCATTGTCGCAGAATGCATTGCACCGGTAAAATAATGGAGACATCTTTAGTACAAAAAATAATGTTACAAACATATATAATCAGGTCTCTCTTGTAAACAAGTCCTCGAGGATCAATGGGATTAACCTGTCTAAATAAAGGTTGAATTAATTTTATTTTTTTAAGTAATTAGGAGTTTTCACGTGTCACAAACAACAACTTTTTAGTAGAACAAAGAAATAAAAACATATTAGGGCCAATATGTGTAAGTAATCGAAGATCCCTATAAAAACAAAGGTACTGATTGGAAAAATGTTTAACAAAAGACTGGATGTGGTTGAATAATCAAAGATAACATTATTAATTCAACCTTTATTTATACAGGTTAGTCTCATTGAGCCATGAGGACTCATTTGAAAGAGAGACCTGTTTTAAACAAAGAACACAGATGAGATACAAACAACAAGAGACAATCATAAAAGAAGCATATAAAATAATAAAGTAAATGGAAGAAATTATATAAAAAACTAAACTAAAGCAGCTATAAAGTGATTCAACACACTAAAAACAGGAATGGTTTTTGCCATGAACTTAGCATTATGGCTACTGTGTACAACTTTTTTTAATTTACAATAAATTAATGTGCAGAAAAGCACTTGTTCGAGAAAATTATTTTTTAAACATATAATACTGCATAATAATCTGACCCCTTCAGGATGACAGTCCAAAGTACAGAGCAGAGAACTTACAGGATATCATTAGATAATCTCCACAGCCGTCTTGGTCATCATCCTGCTGCTCTGGATCCAGTCCATCTTCCGGGATGTCTCCCATGGCAACACCTTCCTCCTCACCCTCCAGAGCCATCACACAGGTTTCTACAGCAACATCTTCATCGTCATCATCGCCGTGCACATATTCAGACACCACATCCTCAACAGCATCCTGGATGACCAGCTCATCGGGGGCAAACCTGTGCACTGCCATGCCTTCACCCTCTCCTTCTGAAACCAACACAGTTTCTTGAAGCTCGACAACAAACTCCTGCCCGCCGGCTCCACCGTCATCTGGAATAGGCAGATTGTGGGTTAACTAGATAACAGCCAGTCTTACTTTAGGCAACTCTTCACATTTTATTAGATTTTTATTCATAATCTGATGTAAAAAAAATAAAAAAAACTATGTGACAAAAACAATCACACAACACCTGGATCAATTAGAACTGTAGTTAACACAAGAATGGTTCATTACCCGATCCGTGTATTATTATTTTAGGCTCTCCAGAATGTATCGACAGCCTGGTGACATCCTCATCCATTGTCCTCGCACTGCATTTGTTACTGGAGAGCTGAAAGAGAGATAAAACATTACGCCATAACCAAAAATACTAGAAGGGTGAGAAAAAATTATGAACAACCTTGAAATGGAAATTACTTTGAGATGTTTAAGACTGGATCAACTCACTTTAGGTCAAGCAAATTAAATTACTCATACACGACACGGCACATGTTTATTTGCCGAAAGTTGTTCTAAAAACATCACAGTGTTAATGCTGAGTGATAAATCTGCACCCAAGCAAACATCACAAATCCAAGGTCACTAATGTGATCTGCATGACTTTGACGCATCACAATACAGATGTGTGTCTAACCGGTGGATTTGCTTTCAAGATGTACCCTAGGAGCTTCTTATTTGAGAAAAGTGTAAAACGTTCATCAGACAATCCTATATTAGACCACTGATCTTACATGAAACAATCATAATCACATATGGTTTTATGTTAGTGCAAACTACAAGGTAGGTTCAGCCACTTCTAACATATGATTGATTAAAGTAACACAAGTCACATCACTTTTCACAGTGATGTTAGGCTGATGCTTGTAATGATGCCTCCAGACTAGATTACACTCTTTGCTTCGGTTTACTGAACTGAGAGAATCAATCCTGCAAACTGTTTATCTTGAGCTACTCTGCTTGTATTATTTAATACACTGATAAAACATCCATTAACGATGATATTGTGAATTTGGTTGCAACTAAGGAGGAGACAAAATTGGTGTCCATGCATGCCACAGTGGTAGTAATAAGACACAGCATCAATACTACTCATTTGTTCCGTAATACTGCTCCCTGTGGTTTAAATGCATAAAAATCAGACAAAGACGGGGTGTTTTTCTGTGTTTCCCTTCTTAGTGATCAGACATGTTGCTTCAAGCTGCAGTTGTGACAATATTCACCTGAACTTTTATAATTCTTAAAAAAAAAAAAGACGTCCTTGGGTAAATATACCTTGGGTAAATTTGATCAGTATTGTATAACTCAGACTGTCATGGCTTGTCTTCAGATTAACCATGCTCATTTTGAAACTAATGTTTGTAACAAGCTATAACAGTTAGCATATAAGCAGGTAATATAAAGCCAGAGGCTGATAACCCAGCTTATTATTATTATTGTTAGCTTTTCAGACTCCTCGTTACTTTACAAAACCCAGAAGTAATAGTTTGTGCATTAAATACTATTATTTTTTACAATTATAAACAAATAGATATGGTCTTGTAGTTTTTGACTCGTGTTGATTTTGTGGAGCAGCATATTCACTTGTGTTCACTTTTATATGGGCACATTAAAACTCAATTAACTATAATTAAATATATTAGATTTTATGATTTCACAACTAAAATATAACCTTTTTAAAGCAATATATTATTTAACCAGAAGTAGTAATTTTTATATAAAAGCAAATACCGGTAAACATATTTTAAAATGTTTTTTTATTACTTTATTACAAAACTGTGGTATTTTGGCTCAAGATGATCAAACTCTCATAGTTGCAACACCACCACTGTGAACTTTCTGGACCAAACAGTTTCGTATTTTATTAATCAGGTTACGAAACAACCGGAGAGCAAACTATAATTAATTGTGAATTACATTTTTATTGCAGCAGTAAGGTTTCGGTGTAACGCAAATGTGGTGCAACGTTTTCTTTAAATAATTTTAATTGGACAATATCTTTCTCACTCTCTTATGTCTCAAAAAAAGCAGTCTGCCCTGGCAGGTACTGAAACATGTCTTCAAACTAAAGGCCCTTGGTTCTTATCACACATTGCTGAGTCACTAAATCAAACATTACTCTGACTTAATAATATGTTCTGGTGCATTTTTTATTTATTTAAAATGTGTTATAAGTATATCCAAAGAGCTGTATTTCTATGAACATTTACAAACAACTTCCCATTTATGTTTTTCACCAAGAAAGCTGTGAGATCTGACTCTTATTTATCATGCTTTACTGTAAAGCATGGGTTTTACAATAGCTTGTGTCTGTAGCAGAGGTAAGCTAATGAATGCCATCATGTTCTCATCACTACTTCAGTGACCAAAATAAAACAAGATTTCTCCCAAAGGAAAATAACACACAAAGCCAAACTGGCCTTGCTTTTCAATGCGAGGATAAAAGGTGAGACAAAAGTGACAGGAACTGGAAGGATGCTGACATGTAAACAAAAAACCGCTGCAGCCGAGGTGCCATTTAATTTCCACTGGTGTACCATCCCCCACCTCTAGGTGGGAAAAAGGAGATGCTGCGGACCACCGAGCATAAGTCTGCTCAAAGATGCCAGTTATTCACATTAAATCTCGTTAGAGTGATCGGATTAATTTGCGCTGGTTTTTGTGTGGAACCAGCGCCATGCAGACACCAGAGAAATGAATGACGGCTCAACATTAGCACTGATTTCACACGAGTACAAAATGTTACAGCCAAACTCGCAGCTTAGAAAATAACTCCCAAGTCCACAAACAAACCGTACGATCAAAAACATAAAGGAGAGTGTGCAAATGTGCGTTATTTGCATAACGACTTAGCTGAATTAAGCTGCTAGCATCAGAGCTAACGCTCCCCTTTTATTGCAGCCAGTTTTCATCACACCAGCGTCCGCCATTTTGTTAGCTTTGTGTTTGAGCAAATGCTAATTTTAACATTTAATAAAATGCTCCTTGAAAACAAAGAACTGCGTATTGTGATACAAACGATGTCTATATAGCTCGTTCACGGCTCGAGACAACAACAACCAATGACGAAAAAAAAAAAAAACACGATTACAAACAAGACATGCTCTTCCGTGGGCTAGCTAACAACATCGGCCTGAGTTTTACCGATCATGGCCTGAGAAGAAAAAAGGCCAGAAAAGGCCCAGCCCTGAGCGGCCTCTCCGCCACAATAAAGAATTTAAATAAAAGGGAAAATGCAAATAAACACCAACTAACACGAATGCAGGCAGGCGAGCACGCAGCTCCGACAACTGGCGAGAAATGAGCACAAAAACACCCGCGTACCAGATTTATGCTGCAGGGATGGCCTCGGACCGCTCCACGGCTTCCCAGGCCGCCCAGTTCCCCCAGACTCGGGCAGGATTCAGTCGGGAATTTGGTGTTATTTGGGCGGGCCAGAGACGAGCGGAGAAGGAGGGGTTAGGGGGCTGATTCCGGAGCGGCACACCGCTGAAAAACGAAGCAGGACGTCTGCAGCCAGATCTTGTCATGCTACTACAGCCCCCCGCTTCTCCCGCAGCTCCGAGGCCGCCGTCAGCGCGACACGTCACAGCCCGACAGAGGCAGGAAACCGCGGAAGAGTTCAGGTGGAAATGAGCCGACGGGCGGCCGCCAAACAGGCCAGAAGACCGAGCCGAACCTCCGGGACATTCATTCTTGTCCGTTTGCATCCACGGGCTGCTGCAACGCAAAACGACATTAAATCACTAGATTAAGGCGAAACAGATGAGTAATTTAAACTAACTGCACAAACGAACTGCTTTGTTCATACTTTTGCGAGAACTTCATAACTTTTACATGCGTCAAACTGAAGGCCCCAGGGCCAAATCTGGGCGTTTTACATTTTATCTGGCCCTCAAGATATTTAAAAAAAAAAAAAGTCAAATTGTAAAAATTTTTTATTTTTTTTCCAGTCATAAATCTAGTATACTTCATTTAGTTCAGACTATTAAGGCTCAAGGTGATTTTATTGTCATTTGCATCACATACGTGGAACAAAACTGTGTACTCAAGGTCCCAGTTACACCCAAAATACCAAAAATATAAAGTATGAAACAATATAATATACACAGTGTGTCACAAAAGTGAGTACACCCCTCACATTCCTGCAGATATTTAAGTACATCTTTTCATGGGACAACACTGACTAAATGACACTTTGAAACAATGAAAAATGGTCTGTGTGCAGCTTATATAGCAATATAAATTTATTCTTCCCTCAAAATAACTCAATATACACCCATTAATGTCTAATTAATGTCTAAACCACCGGCAACAAAAGTGAGTACACCCCTAAGAGACTACACCTCTAAATGTCCAAATTTAGCACTGCTTGCCATTTTCCGTCCAAAATGTCATGTCAAGTCAAGTCAAGTCATCTTTATTTGTAGAGCACAATTTAAAACAGATAAACTGTTATCAAAGTGCTTAACAGAAATGTAGCAAAACATAGGCAGCAAAACAAAAACATCATACAGAATTAAAATTACTGGAGCAATAACACACACTAATGATCACACTAAGGAAAAACAAGCAGTAAAAATAAACGTCAATCATAAAACAACAGAATTTAAAATGAGGTACACAGAACAAAATAAACTAACTCACACCGTATTAAACGCCAGAGCAAACAGGTGCGTTTTAAGGAGGGATTTGAACATCAGGAGGGAGGAGGCCTGCCTGATGTTGAGGGGCAGGTTGTTCCACAGGTTGGGACCTCTGACTGAAAAAGCTCGATCCCCTCGGAGCTTCAGGCGTGATTTTGGAACGACCAAAAGAAGCTGGTCTGATGATCTCAGGGCCCGAGACGGAACATATGGTTCCAGGAGCTCGGAGAGGTAGAGGGGTGCGAGGCCATTTAGGCACTTATATGTCAGGAGGAGAATCTTGAAGTCGATTCTGGATCGCACAGGAAGCCAGTGAAGGGAGGACAGAACAGGTGTGATGTGCTCAGACCTACGTGTACCAGTTAAAAGCCGATGTGTCTCGTTAGTGTTAGGTCTCAGGTGTGCATAGGGAGCCGGTGTGTTCATTTCTGTAGTACAGCTCTCGCACTCTCTCATACTGGTCACTGAAAGTTCCAACATGGCACCTCATGGCAAAGAACTCCCTGAGGATCTTAAAAGACGAATTGTTGCGCTACATGAAGATGGCCAAGGCTACAAGAGGACTGCCAACACCCTGAAACTGAGCTGCAGCACAGTGGCCAAGATCATCCAGCAGTGGGTCCACTCAGAACAGACCTCGCGTTGGTCGTCCAAAGAAGCTGAGTGCACGTGCTCAGCGTCACATCCAAATGCTGTCTTTGAAAGATAGGTGCAGGAGTGCTGTCAGAGGTGGGGGTCAGCCTGTCAGTGCTCAGACCATACGCCGCTCACTACATCAAAATGGTCTTCATGGCCATCATCCCAGAAGGAAGCCTCTTCTGAAGTCTGTACACAAGAAAGTCCACAAACAGTTTGCTGAAGACGTGTCAACAAAGGACATGGATTACTGGAACCATGTCCTATGGTCTGATGAGACAAAGATTAATTTGTTTGGTTCAGATGGTCTCAAGCATGTGTGGCGGCAGTCAGGTGAGGAGTACAAAGATAAGTATGTGATGCCTACAATCAAGCATGGTGGTGGGAATGCCATGGTCTGGGGCTGCATGAGTGCAGCAGGTGCTGGGGAGTTACATTTCACTGAGGGACACATGAACTCCAATATGTACTGTGAAATACTGAAGCAGAGCATGATCCCCTCCCATCATGTTCCAGCATGATAATGTTCCCAAACACGTCTCTAAGACGACCACTGCTTTATTGAAGAGGCTGAGGGTAAAGGTGATGGACTGGCCAAGCATGTCTCCAGACCTAAACCCGATAGAACATCTTTGGGGCATCGTCAAGCGGAAGGTGGAGGAGTGCAAAGTCTCGAATATCCACCAGCTCCGTCATGGAGGAGTGGAAAAGCATTCCAGTGGCAACCAGTGAAGCGCTGGTAAACTCCAAGCCCAGGAGAGTTAAGGCAGCTCTGGTAAATAATGGTGGCCACACAAAATATCGACACTTCAGGAACTTTCACTAAGGGGTGTACTCACTTTTGTTGCTGGTGGTTTAAACATTAATGGCTGTATATTGAGTTGTTTTGAGGGAAGAATAAATTTACACTGTTATAGAAGCTGCACACAGACTACTTTTCATTGTGTCAATGTGTCATTTTGTCAAAGTTGTCCCGTGAAAAGATATACTTAAACATCTGCAGGAATGTGAGGGGTGTACTCACTCTCGTGATACACTTAATATTAGGGAAGTTGGTCAACACTGAAGTCAAACAATGTGTTTGATTTTTTCTGTAATCTTTGATTTTGATGTGGAAAGAGCAACAATGAACATCAAAATGAATCTGCAACCAAGAAAAAAAGTTTGCATAACTGACTTGAGTGAGAGAGTGAATGGTTGTTTGTCTTGTTTATCTCTGTGTGTCCCTGTGATGGACTGGAGACTTGCCCAGGGTGTCCGCTTCTTCCATTTTGTGTCACGGAGGTCGCCGGTGCCCATGTCCAGCAGTCACTGTGCGAAGGGCGAGGTACACCCAGGACGGGTCGCAAGTCCATCACAGGGACACATGGAGACAAACAACCGTTCACTCTCTCACTCACACCTAGGGACAATTTAGAGTTACCAATCAGTCTAACATGCATGTTTTTGGTCTGTGGGAGGAAACCGGAGTACACGGAGAAAACCCACGCATGCACGGAGAGAACATGCAAACTCCACCCAGAAGGGCCCCTGGACCAGGATTTGAACCAGGGACCTGCTCGCTGAGAGGCAGCTCTACCAGTTGCGCCACTGTGCTGCCCACCATTGACTCCCATGACCTGAAAAGGAAAAAGCGAGTAAAGATAATGGATGGATGGTAGCTTGAGGTAATGTCTTGATTGAAATTGGCCTTTGGTTTGAACCTAGTTTTTAATTTTGGCCCCATTTTGTGACCGAGCCATTTTTAAATTGGCATTTTTATATGTCTGGGTTTTTTAAAAATTTTTTTATCATTTGACTGTGGCGGCCATCTCCGGGTGACTCCAAAAGATAATCAGTTGTAGACTTACATTCAAAGATTACTTTCTGCAGATGTTTGTATCCGTCCATTGGTTCTTCAGATATTTTAGTAATGACAAGAACACATACGCACTCAGTGACAAAATTGCTTTGGCCTTCGGCATCGAGCAATAATGAGAACAGGATGGGACCAAAAATGGAGCCTTGAGGTACACCACAGCTACAGAAAGAGAAACTCTTCTCTGCCAGGTATCGTTCAAGGCTTTAATAATGATGCATGAGTCAAGGTCTGAAAGAAGAACACTGTGATCAAACCATATTTAGATAACAGAACATCCTAAAGATAAAAGCAAATCATTGAAAACTTTTACAATAGCTGTTTCTGTGCAATGGTGTGTTTTTAACACCAGTCTGGATTTTTTCAAAAACACCATTTAAATCCATATGAAGAGTGAAATAAAGACATAGAACTAGTTATATTAACTTTACAAGCAGAAAAAACAGCAAGAAAATTAACAAATATCCTACTTTTATTCAACCTGCTACAACTGTTTATGAACTGGTGGCCCATGACCCACTTCAAGTTTGTTGGAGGGGACATTGCAAAACTAAAAATATGCAATGATTGTTAATACTTGTGGATATTTGTCTTGATTGATTCATGTAAAGAGAGAAAAAAGTTTTTGCCACTTCCCTTTGTCCCTAGGTGTGCCAGTGTGAATAGTTCTCATTTGTCCCTGTGATGGACAAGAGACCTGTCCATGGTGTCACAAGATAATGGAGGGATGGATGGAAGATTTTTATTTTATTTTAAACCAAACTCAACATTACACTAATATTGTTTACAACCATTCTGTTGCATGATGTGCTACTATTATTAGCATGATACATTTTTATGAGAGCATTCATTCATTTCATCTTTTACACTTTCAGTGCAAAAAACACGTTTTAATTTCATTTCTGGATTTTTCAACTATATTTTCATTGCAAATACCTCTAAATTTACAGAATATTGTTAAAAAATACAAAGATAATTACAGCTGTTTTTATTATTACAGCCTCTTTAAGTATATATTAAAATAAAACAGTACTTGGCAGCAGTATACTTTAATAATCCCAAGTTAATCTGTGAGCTCAGTGTGTGTTTTTATTTTACATAAGCTAATGTTGCAGGAGTTGTTCATTATCAAAGATAACTGCTAAACAGGCGTAATAAAACTGTGCAAAATCTCCAAACAGACAGAACATCGTTGTTGCTTTCACCAAAACACTGTGCAGATCAGTAAACTCTTATTTGTTGGCCATTTTCAGCAGACCCTCCTTTCCAATCGCAAAAAGACGCCAGCCCTCCTGCGAGGACAGATCAGCCGCCCCCCTCCTCTTGTAGAACTCGATGGACTTCTTGTTGTTTTCTGCTACGATGAAATGCATGCTGCTGCAGCGGGTCTTCGCTGCGGTCTGAGAGGAGGGGACAGAAAAATCCAAAGATTATGAGATGATCAGAGCACGAAATGCAGCTGAGACACCGAACGCACAGGTGGCTTTACCTCGCTCAGCACCTTCAGGATCTGAGAGCCAACGCCAAGACCTGGTGAAACATTAAACAGTTCCAGCAGGTCAGGTCAGTGATCTGTTAATCATTACAGTTTAGCACCGCAGTGGAACTTTTTGAGCACCCTCACCTCGAAACTCCTGCATCACATAGAAGTCCTCCAGGTAGAGAAGCTTTCCGATCCAAGGGTCGTAGGTGAAGTAGTACATCGCAAAGCCGATCACAGAATACCCTGAGAAATGTGCACCTTGAGTTAGGTTCATTAAAAAAATGTAACTTTGTTCTGCTTTTTTTTAGGACAGGTTTTTACCTTCCGACCTCTGCTCCTTTGGGACTTCAGCAACCAAGCAGTGATAGAACGGGTGATCACCAAAACCATCCTCGAGCAGCTCTAAATAAGAATGGGACGCTTATTTTAAAACTTCAAGAAGATAAAACAATTTTTAAAAGAGAGAAATCTCTTTAAACAGAAAGCAGCACCTTTCTCCGTGAGCATGACCTTCTCCTCCATCTCTTCAAACTTAGCAAGTTCCTAAAGTCCAAACAAAAAAAACTACTGAAATTAACCATATTTACAACAAAAATAAAATATACCAGCAGTATCTGGGTTACCTTTATGAGTCGCAAGATATCGGATACATCCTTTGGTTCAGCCGGCCGTAATATAATGTTGGACATTTCCTCTTTTTGCCCTTTTTTCCGTTGCTCAATTGTCCTCTGAATGCGAAAAGCAGCAAAATTTGTTTCTTCATCCGCTCCTCAGGAGTTCACCCCCCGGCAAAAAGAATGAAAGAAACCAGCATGCACAAATCAGCCAGGCGAAGAGTCATACAGCGGCTGCTGCAGCATCCGTTTATATGCATCCTCAGAGGAGGCTGGGCGTCCATATATGGGCATACATCCTGTTCGTCTCATAATGTTAGCTGCTTATCTCTGAGATACTGTACTTCATTTGAATGTTGATCATGAGATAAATATTAACCAGATCTTTGAAAAAACATGAAAGGTGCTTGTGACAGTGGTATCATTAAATCTAGTTATAAACAAATGTAACGCTTATAAATTAAATGTATAACAATGCCTTAAGGAATGCATATCACCCGCCACCTTTCATGTTAGAGTTTAAACTAAATCACATTGATTTTTAGTCGTTTGGATCAAACCTTGCAAGCAACTCTTTACATAGTTTCATGAATGTTGCAAGATGCTCGCAACTACAGGTTTTTAGCTCATTATGTGAATATTCCCTTGTTAACTATATCCAACTGAACAGTGTAGCCTTTTTTTTTTTTAGATCAGTTGGCCGTGGCAGCCATCTTTAATGGGTCTGACTCCAAAGGTTAATCTGTTCCTGAAAGTTTCATTAAACTCTAACCACTTGCTGAAATCAAGCCTTTGAAAATCAGTCGACTATTATTAATAAACCAGTGGATTAAAACAGATTATTTGTTAGAAAAGAGCAGTTGATGAATTAAGTGTTTCGTAGACTCATATCTTGCATTTGAATTCAGGTGATTTGCACAGAAGCAAAATTTTCTTCAGTTAAGGGTCTTCATTTTTGACATTCAGTCTTTTTCTTACTTTCAAACTCCACTTACAAGATTCCTTGCAGCAATTTGCAGCACAAGGCAGACCGATGACGAATCGCTGTCCTCGTCATAATAAAGATGGGCAGTGGAACGATAGGTCGCTCATCTAAACGGGTCAAAGTGCACCGATTCTTTAAGTGTCTTGTTTTCGTCGTTATCGCTCCTGTATAGATTTGCCTTGTAAAGTTTCCACATGAATATCTTCATTGTCACATCGCAACACTTTGTTTCCTGTTCCAGTTTTATGACAACTTGCAGTTCAACCTCAGAGCACGTTCTTATCCAAACTCATCTCAGCCTTCAGGTCAAGTTGTCCTACATTACTCAACGTGATGTGCAGACATTACAGCCGTGGCTGCTCTCCGTAGAAATCGATCACACTGTGATTTATGGAGTCTATTACTGGTAACAAGTATCTGACTTCACATTTAGTTTTTAAAGTGATGGGGCCTTTGGAAAAGAAGTCTGTTCAAGCAAATTAAAGTAACACACTTTAAATAAACACACACTAAAATTAAAGTTCTTTAAGCACGTTAATTATGTGTTCGACTCTCAGATGCTCTACTCAATTCGACCTCAGTATCTGCAGAAATAGCTAATATTTTTTACGTTTGTGTTCGATAAGGTCGATTAGCTGCTACGACCATCAGAAATGGAGACGACTCCAAAAGTTGTGAACTGAATGAGTTTCATTAAAATCGGTTCAGAATAGATTTTAGCTGCAGAGGTCCACAACTCTGATCCTCGTGGCCCACAGTCCTGCACGTTTTAGATGTTCCCCTGACTGAAGGAGCCATTGACAAACTCGTGCTGAGCTTGACGACAATCTGAGCAGGTAATTCAACGATTTGAAGCTGGGGACCTCTCTTTTACAACAGTAACGTGTTAAAACTTGTGTGCTAGTCGCAGTTTGTCCGTCAACACCATGTTCAAACAAAGATGTCTGTAGCGACGTTGAGCCACAAAATAAAGCCGCTGCCGGCTGAGTAGGTTTTGCTCTGTGACGCGTCTCCAATGAGCCACGTGGAGTCAAACTAGTGTTTTGCACTTTTAAAACTAACATGATGAACTTTTGCCATCCATCAAACAGAGCCTGAAGGGTTGGACAAATCTGAACAACTGTGCCACCATAATAATGAAACATATTCACTTTTGGCTCTTATAACGTCCATACGTGCACATAGCACCAGGACACTCTCTGTCACAGATCAACGAGACTTTGTAGTCGTCATCTGATCCGTCATGTGGCCGTTTGCTTTGGACATTCAGGTGAAGAGAGCGGAGCTGTCGACTGATCAACACCTGGTGGTGTTGGATCATTTGCTTTCTGGGCACCTGTGCTTCAAGCGTGTCTGACTGGGAGGAGACCCCAAGGAAGACCCAGGACGTGCAGAAGAGGCGGCTGTGGAAAGAGATGTGTGGACCTCCCTGCTCAAGTTGCTGCCTCCGCGACACGACTTCAGAACAAGCGGAAGATGATGGATGAAAAATCAACCTTTATTTAGACAGGTAAATCCCATTGAGCCTCGAGGACTCA